CTCGGAAGCCAACCCCCTTTCTTTATACATTGCTAGATTCTCTTTGCTAATATTGTGGCAAAGATATTTATGTCTGTGTTTATGAGAAATATTATTTGAAATTTTGTTTTCTTGTAATGTCTTGGTTTGTATATCAGAATAATGCTGGCCTCCATACAGTGTTGAAATATATTGCCTCTTCTATTTTCTGGAGTAATTTACATAGAATTGGTATTATTTCATCCTTAAATATTTTTTAGTTTTGCCAGTGAATCCAACTGAGCCTGGAGTTTTCTTTGTTGGAAAATGTTTTTAAGCTATGAATCCAATTTATCTAATAGATTTAGTTTTATGTTGGTTATCTATTTCTTTTTGAATGACTGTTGGTAGTTTGTATTACTCAAAGAATTGGTCCATTTCCTTTAAGTTGTTGAATTTATATAGGTAGAGTTGTGTCGTAGTATTTTGTTTTGAGATTGCATTTCGCTCTTGTCGCCCAGGCTAGTCACAGTGGCACAATCTCAGCTCACTGCAACCTCTACCTCTGGATTCAAGTGATTCTCCTGCCTCAGCCTTTCAAGTAGCTGGGATTACAGGCACATACCACCACTCCCAGCTAATTTTTGTGGGGTTTTGTTTGTTTGTTTGTTTTGGTAGAGATCGGGTTTGACTCTTAACTCCTGACCTCAAGTAATCCACTCCCCTCAGCCTCCCAAAGTGCTGGGACCCACCTGTAATATTCTTTTATCATTTAAGGTCTGTGGAATCTGCAGTGTTATCCCCGTTTTTCACCTTTTTGTTAGATTGGCTAGAGGCTTATTGATTGTATTGATATTAAGGATTCAGCTTTTGGTTTCATTATTTTTATTGTTTTTGTTTTTATTTTTGATTGCTGCCCTTATCTTTTTGATATCCTTTTTCTTCTTGCTTTGGATTTAATTTGCTCCTCTTCTGCTTTCCTAAAAGATATTTCTTCTTTTCTAATGAATTCATTTAATGCTGTGCTTGCAAATATAGTATTATAGCTTTAAACATTATAGCTTGTAAGTATAGCAATGCAATATTTAAAGTTGCATTCTGCAAATTTTCATTCAATCAAAATATATTATTTCCTCTATGACTTCCTCTTTGATTCATGGGTTATTTAGAAATACACAGATTTCATTGTGTTTATGATTTTCAGATAGTTTCCTGTTGTTGGTTAATTAATTTTTAAGTTTCTTTGTGGTCAGGCAAAATACCTCATATAGTTTCAGTTCTTTGAAATTTAATGCCCAAAATATGGTCTTTTCTGGGTGAATGCTCCATGTGTACTTGGAAAGAGTATGTGTTCTACTGTTGTTCAAATTTCAGATTTCCCTCTGGTGCCATTTTTCTTTAGCCTGAAAACCTTCCTTTAGTATTTCTTTTAGAACAGGTGTGCTGTGCTGATAATGATTTCCACATGCTACTAATTATATGTTGTATAATTTTGAATTGTATATTAAGTGTTTTGAATTGTATGTTTTATATGCTCTGGATGTCATTATAATTCTTTGAAGAATTATAATGAATTTTAAAAAGAAAAATAGGCAGTTCGCCCAGTTAGGTTCAGACTAAAAATCCTGTTTCATCTTTCCCATACAAATTACCTCTCTATTTTTTTACTTCCCTCTGCAGTCTTCTAGCTGTTGTTTACTCTTCATAATTCTTCATTTGTTTTTGTATTTTGCTCAGAGTTTTTAGGTAATCAGTGGGAGAAGCAGGCTATAGTGGGCTTATTTTATGTTGCCTGGAAGCACAGTCTTTGTGTTTTCTTATTCCACAATTCAGATAAAATTATTGTCTTATACCATCAGTATGTCAATTTTCCCACATTTTTTTTTTTTAAAAAAAGGATGTTTATGTTCAAATCCTTTTTGCATCGTAGGCCATCCTTTTAGGATCTTATTTCTTTTTGAAGAAAAATTTTTAGAAGTTTTTTTTTTTTAAACTGATTATCTATTGGGAGTAAACTATGTTTTTTAATTGTCTTGTTTTTGTCCATAAAAGTTTATTTTGTTGACTATTTGAACCTGATTAACACTTATTTTTATGCCAGAACTTTGAAGGTAACATTCCAGTGTTTTCTGATTTCTTGTTTTTATCGACAAGGTTCTTGTCAGTTTGTTATTCCCTTGTGGGTAATACATCTTTTTGCCTTGGAAACATTTAAGATCTTTTTGATTTTGGTGTGTGTTTTGTTTTTGTTTTTGTTTTTTCTTTGAGATGCGTTCTGTCACCCAGGCTGGAGTGCAGTGATGTGATCACAGCTCACTGTACCTTGCACTCCTGAGCTCACGCAGTCCTCTCACCTCATTCCCTGGAGTAGCTCACCACATCCAGCTACAAATGTTTTTGTAGAGATGCAGTATTTGTTTTTATTATAATTCACTGATCATCTTGAATCTTGGCAGTGGTGTCTTCTATATATGTTCTCAGCCATTACCTCCTGAAATAGTTTCTTTCCATTGTTCTCTATTATATTCTTCTGGAACTCTAATTAGATGTTGGTTGACCATTCTCTATCCTTCATATCTCTGTTATTCTCCTTCATATTTTTAATCTTTTTGTTTTTCCATGTTATATTCCTAGTATGTTCAGTATGAAGAGACAGAGGCAGATCAGGTTCAAGACAGGAAATTAAAGCAAAACCCAGTCTTAAGGTTTTGACCACTAATTAGAGAAAGTTATAGATTATGTTTTGTTAAGTTGTATTGTCTATTTAATTATTTTTGATTATCTTTGTCTTATGACATTTTGCTGTAATAAGTATATGTTCCAGATGACATTGTTACCAAACCCTGGTTCTGTCTGAGCTACCATAGGCACCCAGAGGTCCAGTTTGGTAGGTGAGATGTAGTAGCAGGATTATCTGGGCAGAAGCAGGATGACATATAGTGTTTAAGGTGCTCGAGCTCTGTATAGACACATTTTGATTCAACTTTCCTCCCTAACATTTATTAAATATGTGACCTTTCATGTGGTTCCTAATGTTTCAGCACTTGAATTTTCTCTGCATTAGCTACTGCTATTAAAATTATTCCTCTAAGTCAGTTTTAGCATTATACTTTTAGACAGATTCATTTCGATGCAGAATAATATAATGTCACCTTATAGAAACTGAGTTTAGGACCAGGCGAAGTGGCTTATTCCTGTAATCCCAGCCCTTTGGGAGGCCGAGGCAGGCGGATCACCTGAGGTCGAAGTTTAAGACCAGCCTGACCAACATGAAGAAACTTCTTGTCTACAAAAAATACAAAAAATTAACTGGGTGTGTTGGCACATGCCTGTAATCCCACCTACTTGGGAGGCTGAGGTAGGAGAATTGCTTGAACCCAGGAGCAGAGGTTGCAGTGAGCCGAGATCTCGCCATTGCACTCCAGCCTGGGCAACAAGAGAGAAACTCTTGTCTCAAAAAAATAAAAAGTGAGCTTAGAGAAGACTAGGATTTTGAACTCAGCTTTAATGATTTATTTGCTTAATGTTTTTGAGTCAAATTATTCCAAAGGAGGCTAGCACAGGAACCAGGTGAGAATCAGGACCCCAAATAGGTGAATCAGATTCAAGACAGGAAATGAAAACAAAAGCCCAATTATATGACCTGGACCAGCAAGAAAAACAAGGAAGGCTGCAGGTCAGTAGGTACAAATATTTCTAATCCCAGGCATACTTTATTCTGTGTTTATTATAGCCACCCTTCCTTTATTGTATCCTAAATCCCAGGCATAAATATATCCTAATCCCAGGCATACTTATTCTGTGTTTATTATAGCCACCCTTCCTATCATCTATTCAAAAAGGACTTAAAGTTATTGATACAGTTGGTTCTCAAAGGTGTAAGGACTTGTCAAAGCCAAAACTGCTAGTCAGAATTCCTAAGTACTTGTGCTGGGTGGGGGTGGGTGGCTAGAATAAGCAGGGATTCAGGATCATAGTTGTAGTGAAAGATCAAATTGGATTATAGTGAAATGTCTACTCATATTTTCCAGTTATACAAACTAAGCGTTCCGCTTCTGGGAATTTATTTTGAAGAAATAAAAAAAGATATGCCCAATGATAAAATTACAAATATTTCATCACACTAGTGTTTAAAAAATAAAGGAGAGGGATCACTCTAAATGTCCAACAGAGAGAACTGATTTAATAACCTTATGATGCATCTATGTAATAGGAAACTTTGAACCCATTGGAAATTATATAGAAATGTATTTCTATTTCCTAACTTGAAGACATATTTACTATAGTTAAGCTATAAAAACTGGTTCCAGTATTAGAACATGATCACATTTTTTGGGGAGTGGAGGTGCGGAGTTTCACTCTTGTTGCCCAGACTGGAGTGCAATAGCATAACCTCGGCTCACCGCAGCCTCTGCCTCCCAGGTTCAAGTGATTCTCCTGGCTCAGCCTCCCAAGTAGCTGGGATCACAGGCATGCACCACCGCACCCAGCTAAGTTTATATTTTAGTAGAGATGGGGTTTCTCAATGTTGGTCAGGCTGGTCTCGAATTCCCAGCCTCAAGTGATCCACCCACCTCAGCCTCCCAAGGTGCTAGGATTACAAGTGTGAGCCACCGTGCCCAGCCTATGATCACATTTTTATAGGAAAATGATATCTGTATTTATATCTGTCTCTATATGTAAAGAAGACTAAGAAGGTTTGGGAAAGTATTTACTAAAGTGTTTATAGTGATTTTTCTTGGAAGAGAGAAAGATAAGGGCTTTTATTTTCTAATTTTTACTGAACATTTATTGCTGTTGTAATAAGAGAATATTTTACTTTTTATTTAAATTGGCAGGCCATAAAATAAATACTTTGACATTAGATTTATGGTAAAATAGGAAATCTATATCTGTATTACTTTATTATAGGATTTCTTTTTGTTTAGAACCATGAGGCCATGCTTTCTTCTGTTCATACAATTTTGAGTAGTAACTTGCTTCTTAAATTCCTGCTGATATTTCTAAATCTAATCCTTTGTTGTTTGCTGTTATTTCTTTAGGTTATTGTGTCAATGAGCATAGCATTTGCTCAACAAATTGAACTGTCTAGAAGAATATCTGGGGGAAAAGAAAATACTACATCATCAGAGCAAGGACATGCTGTGTGTCAGCAAGAACAACAGTATTTTAATGAAAGGAAATTATCACAGGATCAAATTCCTTTTCAGACTTTTGAGACAGTGGATGTGAAATTTAAAGAGGAATTTAAACCACTCAGTAAAGAGTTAGGAGAACATGGAAAGGACGTTTTATTGTCAAATAATGATCCCGATGATATGCTAGAAACAAAGGACTGTGTGCTGACTACTTCAGAAGAAATGTTCTCCAAAGATAAAACATTTATAGTCAGAGAATCTGTAAGTATGCCTCCTTGAATGTAAAAACCTTATTTAAAAATTGTGAATTCCTTCACTATAAAAATATTAACAATATTTATAATATTGTTAATAATGCGCTTAGTGGAGGAAGAAAATGTCAAATTCAGTCTTATGATTCACATTGTTTTATTAATTGTAAGATATATGGATAGGAGACTTAATATTAGTATCAGCTAAAACAAGTCTGGTTTGTGGTATTCTTGTTTATCTTAAAGATGTTGTACCTGGTAAAATCCCATTCTAAGTTGTATGCACATTAATTCTATTTCAAGATTAACTGTACTACAGTTTGGTAGTATCTGTGAGTAAAATATTTACTTAATTAAATATAGCAATGTTACAAGGAAATAGCTCCTATTTAGGAAGACTATTTAAAGGAATTTACTGTCTATATCCTAATTCTTGATTTCTTTACTTATTCATTAATAGAAGATCTATTCTGTGTCTGTGCCTCAACTCTTCACTGCCTTTAACAGAAAGTAATAAATCCTACTTATTTTAACATTATCTGAATTAAAATTTTGTATTAATGTTCAGGATAGGTTATGTTTTGTTCAGACTAATATTCAAGTTGCCAACTACAGGCCAGGTATGGTGGCTCATGCCTGTAATCCCAGCACTTTGGGAGGCTGAGACAGGTGGATTACTTGAGGTCAGGAGTTTGAAACCAGCCTAGCCAACATGGTGAAATTCCGTCTCTACTAAAAATACAAAAATTAGCTGTGCATGGCGGTGCACGCCTGTAATCTCAGCTACTTGGGAGGTTGAGGCCGAAGAATCACTTGAACCAAGGAGGTAGAAGTTGCAGTGATCCAAGAGGGTGCCGCTGCACTCCAGCCTGGGTGACACCAAGACTCTGTCTCAAAAAAAATTAAAAGTAAAATTGCCAACTCTTTATGGAATTCAAAACCTGTTAGATGTTCTTGAAGACCTCTTTAATTTACCAGCAACTGTTCAAGGCAAAATTATTCATTTAAGTAGCATCTCTCCAGGAAATGATGTACTTATAGAATGTATTAAGGAGTTGACTTCCTAGGAGTATGAGACTGTAGAATGTAAATCTTTTATTTTCAAATAAAATGTATTGAAAAATTTTTTAATCAATACTTCTCTATAGTACTGTGATAACCACTGTGTAAATTAAATGAGTAGTTTCTCATGTTTCATACATTTAATTTTAAAATATAAAAATATTACGTTGATACTATTTTCCCATTATAAAATGTCAAGAGGAATAATGGCATTACAGCTTCATTAAGAGTAGAAGGAATCTTAAATATCTTTGTTCTTTTTTTTCTATTAGAATTAGATTAAATCTAAACTAATTGATAAATGGCTGTTTTGCTTTTGGAAAATAACGTATATGATAATAAAGTAACTTTATGTTGTTTTTGAATTATAATGAAGAACATCATTTAAAAATTATGTTTTTGTTTAATATAAATAAAACATCACATTCTTTGTGGGATAAGTAATAGAATTGCTTTCATATTTGTTTAAAAGATTAGCGCTGACAGATTTTCACAAAATGTGTTATGATAGAATTTTTTTTTTTTACTATTAAAGATTCGTGATGAGATTTCAATGTCAAACACGGATGCTTCTAGACAACTAATGTTAAATGAAGAACAGTTGGAAGATATGAGACAGGAACTTGTACGACAATACCAAGAACATCAACAGGCAACAGAACTGTTAAGGCAAGCACATATGCGTCAGATGGAGAGACAGCGAGAAGACCAGGAACAGCTACAAGAAGAGATTAAGAGACTTAATAGACAATTAGCCCAGGTAAGGGTCTTATAGTCCCTTTTCTCTCCCCAATTATTATTTTTTCCAAACGCCAATTTGAACCTGATCCCCAAATTAAAACAGCAGTATTTTTTATGTAGCCATAATTTTTTTTTTTTTTTTTTTTTTTTGCCAAAATCTGAATAAACTACATGTATTTAGCATCAGGAACACATTCTACTAACACAGAAGCTTTAGATCTTGTAAGGGACATCTACCTCAATCTTGGAGTAGGCGTTGTCTTTCTGTCATTTTATTTAACTCCTTTTTCAAGCACTGGAAAAGTGACTACAAGGTATTTTGTTTCTGTTTTTGTTTTTTTAAAATCATTCCATTAACCATATATAGCACTTTGACATTTTGGAAGTAACATTGTGCTGAGGTGTTTCATTATACAGTTACTATCATTCAGTTTTCCTATATTCATTTATAGTTTTGTGAGTCCACCAATTAGCCTCTCAAAGGTTTATCTTTATCTGTCTTTAATCCATCTTTTTAATCATGAATGGAAATCAGAAGTAGTGTGCTTCTGGAACTCTTTCCAGGGAAACATCTCTTCTTGATTTGAGAAATGCAAATTTATTTAACATTCTTATCCCTTTCTTGACTAAATTTAAATACTTCTTGGTATTTGGGAGCTGTATAAAATATACTCACAAAATCTTTGCAGAAAAGCAAGAAATATTTATGTAGAAATTCTTATGAAAACAAATTTATTGAATTTAATTTTGAAAACTGAAGCTAAAAAGAGATAAATAACTAGAGATAACGTATTCTTTCAAATATAAAATTATAGGAAAATTGGGAGCTGAGCATAAAGCATTATTTGGAAAAATTAACTTTGCTTTTCTTCATTGCATTTTGTGAATTCAGACTTCTTAATTTTCAATGCAAAATTGATAAAAATTAATTGAACCACACAAATTCCTGAATATTTAGGCTTAATTGGCTTTTTAAAAAAATCTTAAATTTTGCATTGATCTTTGTATATACTTTTAACCCCTTATGATGGAATAGAAATCATAAGTAGAGCCAGGACCTGTTGGTCCTGGGGGTTAAAAGGAATATGCGTAATATTTCTGCCCTTTTTCTCTATCGCAAACAATATTCTCTCATGACCTTTTTTCTTATTTAGAGATCCTCCATAGATAATGAAAACCTGGTTTCAGAGAGAGAGAGGGTGCTTTTAGAGGAGCTGGAAGCACTAAAGCAGCTGTCTTTAGCTGGAAGAGAGAAGCTGTGTTGTGAGCTGCGCAACAGCAGTACGCAAACACAGGTAGTATGGACTTTGGCCCACCTAGGAGCAATGGATCAACAATTCAGTAGGATTTGTTTGTCTTTGTTGTTGGTGTAAGATGTATTCTTTTATAGGTATTGAGCTTAACATATTTCATGACTGCATACGTGTAAGGTAGGTGGAGTCAGAATGCCTTACATTTCATTTAAGGTGATTTGGATCTGGCATTGCTGTAACAGCAACTATTGTTTCACCAAAGAGAACCTAACAAACTTTATTGTTGCACTATAGCATGCATAATTTGAACCCATTAAAATTTTTTATTTGTGTTCTAGAATATTTTATCCTCTTTTGATAACACTTATCTCAAATATAGTTAAATATTATACCAAATAGTATCAATTTTGTGCACAGAGGTTGCTATTTTATCTCATAGCAATATAGAAGAATGACATGCTATTTCCAAGATGACAGGTTTTCTTTCTGTCTTATCCTCTCTTCCTTTACACAAACTTAAACAGAATGGAAGTGAAAACCAAGGAGAAGTTGAGGAAGAGACATTTAAAGAAAAGGAATTGGACAGAAAACCTGACGACGTGCCTCCTGAGATTTTATCTAATGAAAGGTATACAAAATGTGTACTTTTTCAGTGCAAAGTAAATTTAAATGGCTGTTTCCATGTAATAAACTTCATCCTTATTTTTATCTCGTACGTTTATACTTTGTCTTAACAGTCGTCATACTGTGTATGAAACGTGTCCATATATGTGTAATTTTCAGATTTTCATCATTAAATCATAAATTTTTTTAAAAATTGTCTATGTAATTTTTTATTGAATATTAATCACATACTTAATTGTTAGTGTTAAGGTATTTGAATGTTGAAACTTTCTTGATTAATTTTATACTTAGATGCCAATTTGTATCCTAAAAACACAGTTCTGCTTGTGAAATATGTTCCTTCACTGTATGGACATGTATTTAGTGTAAGCCATCCCCTGACTTGTTTATGCTGAGGGAAAAAAAAAGTGATTGTTAATGTAAATATTCTACATTTAACTTCTTTCATGCATTTGCTACATAACAGATGACAACTTTAAATCTGATCCCAGTCCTATAGAGGAATAAATTAATCACCTGAGGTTAACAAAACTATTCCTTACTTTAATTTTTGTAGAGATTAATATAAAAATCTAAATATTAAGTGAGAATAGTTATCCTACATTAGTATTAAAGACTTTAAGCACAATATTTTAAACTTTGTTTTATTCAAATGAAATTATTTCTTTAATTTTAAATTAAAACTAATATTTACTAACTTAATTTCATCCTTTTCCAATTTCTGTGACTGTCAACCCTCTTGTGTCCTTCTAACCTCCTTCCTCAGCTTGCATGGAGGAATTTGGCCCCTAAGATTTTGGCTTCCCCATTGGATCATCAGTATGGAACGCAGTCAGTATGGAACTCAAACAAGAAAGACAGTGTATGAAAATTAGAGTTACCATAGCAATATAAAATAAACGCTTTGTTTATTTTATATTATTTATCTCTAATTGGTAAATTTTGAAAGCTATGCAGTATTTAATTTTTAGGAATTTTTACAGTACGTGCTAATAAAATGAATATTCTTTTTTTTTTTTTACCATAGATTAATTTTAATTATTTTCAGTAGAAATATTTTCATATTATTCTAGTCCTGGGGTTTGGGACTTAAACAAAACCTCAGAACAAGTTAAAGAAATAAAACCCTTAGCTTTTGACTAAATTATTTGAGTTTTATTTTTAGTATTCTTGATTATATAAGCAGAGAACTTGATCTAGGTGCAAAAATAGAACTCTTTCACTTGACAAATAATAAAGGAAAGTTTCGCCATTTACTATCTTGTCTTAAAATAGATATGTCATGTGTCTTTGAAAACAGATATCCTTTAGCCTGATTGTTGGCATCTCCTGCAGTGTGAAGCTGAAAGATAAAACTATCTTAAGACAGAAGACCTTTACCGTGAAAGTCTGTTATTTTGTGTGCATATATAAAGTTTGCTGCTGCAGTGCCTTTGTTGAACTGAGTTGTTAGGACAAGAGAGTTGTTTAGTTTTTAAGAAAATTAATCAGGCAGTCTTCTGAATCACTATTTATGGAAATACCTTTCTTCACCTGATAGAATGTTCATGTAAAGCACTTTTTTCAGGATGATCTCATTTTTTTTTTTAATACGTATATATATATTTATGAGAGGCAGGAGGAGAAGTCTAGAAATACAGGCATTAAAATCGTAATAGTGATTGCTGAGGTTTTTTTGGTGGGTGGTTAGCATTATTTGCCAAATTTTTTTAAATAAGGATTACTTTTTAAAAAGAGAGACACACCAAATTCATTCTATTTGGTTGAAAACAGGCCTCTCCTACTGACTGAAATGAGTGTGGTGAGTGTAACTTGAGAAATTTCTGTCTCTGGAACAGATGTAATAAAAACGGCCTGTGATACTCCCTCTGGTGTTGACAGATAGTGAAATTTCATTACAGACCTTTTTAAAAACAGGTCTCTGCCCATTACTTTTAGTAATTTAAACATTCAGCTCATCACCATTAACTTGTACAAATACTATCACATAATTTTTTCTGGTGTGATTTTAAAATTATGTTTTAAAATATGTTTTTATGTTTGATATATAGAAAGATTAAATGTACAAAATACATATGTATAACTATGGACATCAGGCTCAATAACTTGCATATGATTAGTCACTACCATAGTTTTTAAAACTTAAATTTTGTCTCTGAAAATTTTCTCTTAACCTACTTACTAGCCTAAGACTTTAGTTATTTGGTTTTTTTCGAATCAATTAGATACTGTACATTTTTTTAAATGATATGATTAAGCTGATTGGCCAAAATTTTTCAGACAAAAACAAATCACTTTATAATATAGTCACAAGGCCGGGTGCGGTGGCTCACGCCTGTAATCCCAGCACTTTGGGAGGCCAAGGCAGGTGGATCACCTGAGGTCAGGAGTTCAAGACCAGCCTGGCCAACATGGAGAAACCCCGTCTCTATTCAAAAAAAAAAAAAAAAAAAAAAAAAAAAAAATATATATATATATATATAGAGAGAGAGAGAGAGAGAGAGAGAGAGAGAGTCACAAATAAAAAAACAAGAAGCACTTCATTGTCAATGTTCTTGCTTATTATTTTAATAGAGAGGATCATCTGTTATTTTTCAAATCAGATATTTTGCAGCATGTTTTTTGTTGGACATAAAGTGTTTGCTTCAGAAAGATTAAACATTTTAATCAGTGCTTCTTTATCTGTACAGGTATGCACTCCAGAAAGCTAATAACAGGCTTTTGAAGATCCTCTTAGAAGTTGTAAAGACCACAGCAGCTGTTGAAGAAACAATTGGTCGCCATGTCCTTGGGATTCTAGATAGATCTAGTAAAAGCCAGTCATCTGCCAGCCTAATTTGGAGGTCAGAAGCAGAGGCATCTGTGAAGTCATGTGTCCATGAAGAACACACAAAAGGTACTATTTTCTATACTGTTGAAACAATCATTTCAATAAGTTTTGCTGAGTTCAAGGCATTTTGCTATGTGTTGAAAATATAGAAGAGAAAATAAGTATTTTCCAGCAAATTGACCTTCAAACAGAAATACCTCAGAATGACTTTTCTCAGACACCATTATTATATAGCATTTTTGCAAGTGTGTATCATAGAATTGTCATTATATTTACCCAGAGTTGCTATTGTGCATACATAAACCAGAATGCTGTTACATTTCTCCAGTGATAAAACAAAATTTCTACTCAGTACTCAGGACTCTTACCAGTATCTGTGAGGTAGGCATGACATCCTGAAACCATCCTATAAATTAAGGAAAGATTAGAAATGAAGGCTTTTTAGGAACCTAGCATCAGTTTCACATACCTGTTGAAATGGTTAGAAGCAAGTCTTGATAAGAAATCCAAGGTTTGGTCTTATCTTTGGATTGTCCTCTGCTAGATTCTTTTTTCCTTTTGGAAAAGTGGGTTGAAATATTACAAAATATGGATTTTGTATGTGGATTCAGAGATGAGGTCTTGATACGACAGAGCTTTCTTCGTAACTCCATCTTCCTTTAGCTGTGTGGACTGGGCCCCTCTTTTCGTTTCTTTTTCTTTTCTTCTTCTTCTTTCTTTTTTTTTTTTTTTTTGTTTTGAGACAGAGTTTCACTCTGTCACCCAGACTGGAATGCAGTGGTACAATCTCGGCTAACTACAAACTCTGCCTCCCAACTTCGAGTGATTCTCTTGCCTCAGCCGCTCAAGTAACTGGGACTATAGGTGCACACCACCATGCCCAGCTAATTTTTGTATTTTTAGCAGACAGGATTTTGCCATGTTGGTGAGGCTGGTCTTAAACTCCTGACCTCAGGTGATTCTGCCTGGCTCAGCCTCCCAAAGTGCTGGGATTACAGACATGAGCCAGCCTCTTTTTTCCATTTCTTTCTATCACATTGCTGAACTTCATTGTCTCTTGTTTTTTCAATTTCTTGTTCCTTGGAGGAGAGGGAAATGAGGAATCAAAAGGGGAGAAAAGTTTTGTGAGATGGAGAAACATAGAATCTGGACTCCTGGCTCAGAAGATCAAGCCTGCAGTTCACTATCATTCCATGCTCAAGCACTTCTCCCCAGTTAGAGGCAGACCTAAGATGCCAGTTTTTCTAATTTTTGAGAGCATTCTGTCTGTTAAATTTCATATGGAAAAATGAGAAGGAATTATCCCATTTAGGGAAGGTTTGCCTAATTATAAGTTGGCCAGCAGTGTGTTTCTAAGCACAGAGAAAAGCTTAATTTGGAATTGCAAATAAAACTGATTTTAAAACACCTCAATTAAGTTCAAAGATAGTTTTAAAAATTGCTTTTAGTTCATTGTCTCATTACTTACGAAAAAAATTGCTTTTAGTAAATTAACAACTGAAATACTGAATTTTGAACTTTGCTTTCAAATTCATTCTTTTTAAACTTGGTAGAAGGATTTTTTCAAATTAATTTCACTCTTGGTTAAGCTCTCAATCATGGCTATTTTATTTCTGCATATGGATTGTTATCTGTAGAGAGGAATTAGATAACATTTTCTTGGTCTGGTAAAAGTGTTTATTAAATTATGCTTTTTAAAAAACATTGCTTTCACAGGCTTGTTTCACTTAACCATCTAGATAGAGATTTTGCTGTTCTGCTGGTAAGACCTAGACCAGGTTGACTGCCATATTCAAAAGACACTCTGAGAATGTTCTGTGCATTGCAGATGTACTTTGTGCTTTTTATTGTTGTTAGCAGTTCTCTTAGATGCTTCTCAACATGGGTACCAAAGTATTCAGCAGACAACGTACCTTAAAAGACAGTGAACTTACTTCCAGAGCACTGTCTCCATAAAAAGGAATAAATTGGTAATTTAACTCAAGCACAGAGGATGATATTTATGCTCATTTTCCATGAGAAAGCAGACGTAAAATGCCTTCTGATCCACTAGCCTATTTTCTTGCATAAGTGTATCTTAATCTTCCAACATAGATGAAATATGTATATCCTATTTTAAGATATTCAGTAATAGTTTTCTTTCTTTTTTTCTTTTTTTGAATCTCGCTCTGTCGCCCAAGCTGGAGTACAATGGCACAATCTCGGCTCACTGCAACCTCCGCCTCCAAGGTTCAGGCAATTTTCCTGCCTCAGCCTCCCAAGTAGCTGGAATTACAGGTGCCTGCCACCATGCCCAGCTAATACTTTTGTGTTGTTAGTAGAGACAGGGTTTCACCATGTTGGCCAGGCTGGTTTCAAACTCCTGACCTCAAGTAATCCACCCGCCTTGGCCTTCTAAAGTGATAGGATTACAGGAATGAACCACAGACTGGCCATAGTTTCTAATTATAAACAATTTTATGAGTTTAATTCTACAGACATTTACTGAGCACTTTATGCTCTCAGCTTTACAGCAATTCATAGTCTAGTAAAGGAGTCATTGCTATTCTGATTCAAAGCAAAATAAAGTCATAATACTTAATATTTTGCCTAAAACCACTACATATATTTGAATCAACTAAACCCTTTAAAATTTTAGTTATTTAACTGTTGACTGATTCTGAAAGAATAATATTAAGATAAGAGGGAAAACTAAATCCACTGTTAAGAAATATAGTATATAGAATATTGTAGCAGAGATAATTTTGCTAGGATTAGTATCATTGGTTACATGTACTTTCCATTTAATTAACTCCATCTTACTGTTTTTATGTTTAGCAGTGATGTGATAGTCTTACTAATAAAATTAGAGTAGCCATTGATGTCACTGGGGACACTTAATGGATCCATCTGCATCTTTAAGGATATATTGAATTAATAGAATTTATAATTTAAAACTTTTAATTTTTATATGAACTTTAAAGAAAATACTAGCTTTAAAATATTAACACTGTGCTCCATGTGTAAGAATTTTTTCTGACATTTCTTCATATTTAAAATGGAGCATTATTTTTTAAAAATGAAATATACTTTTGAAAGATTTATGTTTTTTAGTATCATGAAAAAAATTGCAAAGCAACTTTTGCTTTTCAGTTTTCATAAATGACTTTTTGTGGTAACATTTGTGATGTATTTTCAGCCTTCAAGTCTGAACTTGTTTAGATTTTAAACATGTATGGACTTGTTAACACTCAAAAAAATGGATAATAGATTTGCTAATATTTGCTTCCTCATAAGAGTAACCTAGTTTAAGAAATTGAAGGGAAATTTTGAGCGAACATAAAATCACTTAAACCCGAATGAATGTTAGATCAGTTCATAAAAATGAATTTCCCAGGTTGTGTTGAAAAAAAATTTCCTTTAGGTCTGCACTGTGATGATTCAGTGGTTTTATGCTCACCTCTCCCATAGGAGGCCAGGATGGAATCTTACCTGCTGCAGCCTTCTTTTGGAGAAATGCTGTCTTATAGAAAGAATGCTAGGGGCCAAGCTCGATGGCTCACACCTGTAATCCCAACACTTTGGGAGGCCGAGGCAGGCGGATTACCTGAGCTCAGGAGTTCAGCCTGGCTAACATGGTGAAACCCCATCTCTACTAAAAGTATGAAAATTAGCCAGGTGTAGCGGCACACACCTATAGTCCCAGCTACTCATGAGGCTGAGTCAGGAGAATGCTTGAATCCAGGAGGTGAAGGTTGCAGTGAGCCGAGATCGTGCCACTGCACTAATCAGAAGGCCTATGATATTGGGCAAACCTCTTAAGTTTCCCAGGGCTTCCGTACAGTTTTCTCAGCTGTTAGATACCAGGGTCAGACTGGAGCCTAGTGGATTCCATTGAAGCCATAGACATTCAGAGAGCCTTTGGGGCAGAGAAGGCTTTATCACTTGTCCATCCTGCTTTAACCTGAGGAGTTTATCGTTATCTGTCAGGGAATGAACATGATACAGTCCATAAAGTTAATAACTAAAGGACTTGAATAACCATCATTTACTATGTTTAAGACATAAATCCAAGAGGTTCGCCAATTTGAAATGATTCTATTTACTAAACTAGACTTCCTATTATTGGCATCTCAGAAGTTCCCCCGCTAATCTATATTATCCTATGAATTTTTCCCTTCAAGACTAATTATTAAAAATAAAGCTTAAGCTTGATGTCTTTCTCATTTTCTATTTTATAAGATTTTTTTAAATTTTTTTTTCTTGGAACATATTCAGATTATTTTAGATTGTTTATATCTTCAAAATGTTATTAAGAAAATAAACTAGTTGACATCTTCACCTTTTCTAGGTACTTTAATGTCTATTTTTTAAAATTAGCCATTTCAAGAAACTAGCATTCAGAGGCGTTTCGTAAGTCACTTTCATACACCCTCTGTATTTTGTATATGAGATTTGCTCCCCACTAATACACAGTATCTTCAGTCTTTTCTTCATGTTGATTTTTTCTCTATACCCCAAAACATTAGACTGTCTTCATACTGTCTTTAAAAAGAAGTGTTGAATTTTCTCACCATTGTTCCCTGCTCAAGGTAAACTTCAGCAAACCTAATCAGAGAATAGACTAACTCCTGTGTTCACCAGCTTTGATTTCTATTCCTGCAGTACCAAAGCTGCTTTCTCAGAGAACACTGACCTCCCAGTTGTCAGATCCATAGCATGTTCTCAGTCCTTTTCTGTTTGTCTTCTAGACAAATAACATTACTAGAGTGTCTTCTTGAAGCAGTCTCTTTTTGCCCACTAGAACATCTCTCTCCTGTCTCTCTCTGATATTTTTTAACACAGGTTCTTTTATTAGATTATGATATACAGAGGCTTCAACTTTGTCTTCCTTCTCTCACTAGATATTACTCCTAAGACAAATATATCTATTTCCAAGGTTTCAACTCTCACCTTTCTACAAATAACTCCTAAGTCATTGCAGATTCAAAGTTCCCACAGTTGGCTCATCTCCACAAATCCCATTAACATTTCACACTAATTTTTCATCCCTACTATGTATATTTTCTCCTGCTTTTTAGTATTTTTCTTAATGACTTCTCTGTCACCTAAGAATCATCTAAGCTGGAAGCCCAGAGTCATCTTCTACATATCTTCTTTCCTTGTTGTCTTCCACATTGTCTTCTCCAACCTGTGCTCTTTCTCGACACCACCCCTCACCACCCACCATCTTAGTTCATGTCTTTATCACTTCTCATCTGGACAATTGAAATAACATGTAAACAATTTTTTTCCTTCTTTAACTTATCTCTGCATTGCTACAATTTGCTTCCTGATTCACATATTTGATATTACCTCCCTATTCAAAATATGATTTACTCTTTCCATTTGTTTATAGCAAAACCCCCAAGGTTCCTATAAAATTTAAGACCATTTACAACTTGGATCCAGCTTATTTTCCAGCTACCTTCTTTTTGCTCTCTCACCTACCTCACTACTACTTCTCCAAGTCCCTTTGCCCCAAAAGGCCTAGAGTTCCCATGATATCACATTGTTGCCTTTGCCTCATGTTTCTGTACCCATGAGAAAGAAAATGTCACTAGGATGCATTTAATTTCTCACATAAAGATGCTATAAATTCCAAGATTATCTTGCACTTCAAAGTATTTTTGAGGTATTCAATTTTGAGCACATGGAGTAATATAAATAAGTACTAGTGTAGCTGATGTGTTTTTTACTTTGGGAAATAAAAACACAAAGTGAAAGTTGTATTTGCTGTTACATTAAGAATTAGATAAACCTATATATAATGGCAAACATTTAAAATGCCCTAAAATGCTATTTTGGACTCTTCAGCCAGTAACTTATAAAGAGGACATGCTTAGTGAATATTGAATTGTGCTGAATTCAGATCTTGTGTCTGAAGCTGTATCTGAATGTCATTACTACACAGATTAAGAAAACTCAATATGGCACCAGGTACTTTTAGCAAGACAAGTTCTAATAAATAGCTCTTATTTTGAGTGCATGTGTCAAACTGAAATTCAAGCACTTATTCCAAGCACCTGGTACATTAAGATTTCTTCTGCTTTAATTTGTCAATTTTGTATAGGTACTGATAACAAATATATACTACGTGTAATAAAAGAATAGGCAATGCCTCTTCAGGATATTTCACTGTTGAGTTGTAACATCTGCCATGGATGAATATTTCATAGCAGTGGTGAATAACCTATGCTTTTATTTTAGCTTAGAGAAAATACTTAGAGAGCTTATCTTCTGCCCATGCAAAGTTAATTTTTTTTAAGTAAGAAATAAGAATAGTGTCGGTAATGTGGACAACAACATCCATAGTTAAATTAGAACTGCTCATCAGTCAGTCTAATCTTATCCCAGTGTTTCTCTTAAAAAAGTAGCAAGCAAAAAAATGATTTTAGTCCCCTTTACTGTGTAGCCAGAGCAGATGATATTGCCCAGTGTGGGCTCAAAAGTCAGCCTGCACCAGACAAATTCAAGCATGTGTCTCTATCCCTCTGTACACCTGGAATGTCCTACTGCACAATGCTTTTCTTTTCTTGTGATTGTTTATGTGTTTCCTCATTACATTGTAAATTCGTTGAGGGTTAGAACCAGATCTTGTCACCTGTATATTCCTATTACTTAGCAAACTCTACATGGTGAGCATGTAGTAAATTTCTGTTGAAAGGTATCATAGAAGTTTTTATCAAGGAAAAAAATACTGAGTGACCCAAATATCAATTTCTGGAAATTTCTATTAGCATAACATTTCTCATTATTTTGCTTGGTTATTGAATAATATTATATTCTGTATTTGTATCTTGTATTTGTTTTGTTGCAACACTGTTTTAAAAGACCTTACAATTTCCATAATTTCAAATTTTAGTTTGATTTTATTTTATAACTTTAAAAAATTGTAATTATTATAATTAATTTATGCCTTTAAAATACTGTTGATCTAGTTACAGATGAATGCATTCCCTCTTATTCTGGAAGTGATATGCCAAGAAATGACATTAGCATGTGGTCAAAAGTAACTGAGGAAGGAACAGAGCTGTCACAACGACTCGTTAGGAGTGGTTTTGCTGGAACTGAAATAGACCCTGAAAATGAAGAACTTATGCTGAATATTAGCTCTCGACTACAAGCAGCAGTTGAAAAACTCCTAGAAGCCATAAGTGAAACTAGTAGTCAGGTAACCTTCTTATATTGTTGATACGTACTGAGTTTGAAGTACAATATGCTATCCCACTCTCTCGACTGAGCTAATTTAAGTATTTTCATTGGTTGCTGTTTGGCACTTTCGAAGCTTGAAGGCATATCCATCTTAATTATCCCTTTTGTTCTATGGAAGTTGTATAGCAGAAATGATTCTGAATTCCTACATGATCCTGCTTTTGTTTTGTTTGTTGCTTATTTCAGGTATATTAGTATTTAATTTCTGTGATTTGTACATTCATATATGAAAACAGCTGTTAATACTTTTTGTTTCTTGACCACTTTTAAGTACTTTTGACCTCAATCTTGGCTAATGTTAATACCGTTGCTACTGCTTGATGCCATTGTAAATTATGAGCAGTTTAGTTAATGCAGTGTAGTATTTGCCTTTTGATAAGCACCATGAAAAATGTTAAATAAATCAGAAGTGGTCAGTGGTTCCAGTAGGCTACTTGTTCCTAACAGGCTACTGGAGAGAAACTTGTCCAAAATTTGTCAGCAGTCAAGTGTGTGGGCTCCCCCTGAAACATTCAGTTCCTCAGGCCAAGACCACAGCTCATAGCAACCGTCTGCTAATGTGACCAGGTAATGAAGTACAGGAGGAGTCTGATTATGGCATTTTCCAGATTTTTCCCAATTTGTTAAATACTAAATTCACACTGTTATTTAGCTTCTATTATATTATTATAATTGAAATATCACTAAATAGATCACAAAAGCTTTGTATAGAGTAGTAACTGATGGCAGAGACTTCTCAAAGTACAACCCCTGGCCAGGCGCGGTGGCTCACACCTGTTATCCCAGCACTTTGGGAGGACTAGGCGGGTGGATCACGAGGTCAAGAGATCGAGACCATCCTGGTCAACATGATGAAACCCTGTCTCTACTAAAAATATAAAAAATTAGCTGGGCATGGTGGCGCGTGCCTGTAATCCCAGCTACTCAGGAGGCTGTGGCAGGAGAATTGCCTGAACCCAGGAGGCAGAGGTTGCAGTGAGCCGAGATCGCGCCATTGCACTCCAGCCTGGGTAACAAGAGCGAAACTCCGTCTCAAAAAAAAAAAAAAAAAAAAAGTGCAACCCCTAACCAGCAATATCAACATCATCAGGTGATATCTTCAAGATGTAAATTCTTAGACCCCACCCCAGACCTACTGGAATTGGGGGCCCAGCAACCTGTGTTTTTAACCAGTCCTTTACATGATTCTGATTCACACTAAAGTTGGAGAACCACTAATCTGTGGATTATTAGTATAATGTTCACATTGTTCTGGCTTAATTTTGAAGCACTATACTAACATCTTTTATATAAAATGTTGAACTAGTTATTGACATCAGGTTAAAAAAGTTATAAAAATGAGGCATTTCTTAAGTGAATAATATTTTTCAGCATTGGGAATAAGTGTTTTTAAAAACTCTTTTAAACTCATTTCATTTCATTTTTTAATCTTCCATGGATAGATGTTTAAAGCCATTTGATGTTATTATAAATTATGAGCAGTTTAGTTAATCCAGTATAGTATGGCATTTTCAGAATAGTCTCAATTAATAACTAAAATTATTTTGAATCTGCTGACTTTTTAACAGTCAGATTGACATAGAATAATGTGTACTATCTTTGTGAAATAACTTACATTTCACTTTCCTCTTCAACATGTCATTATTCGGTTCTACTTTATAATAGTATACTTCCTTTTAACCTTCATATTTTTTCACTTATAACAAAATGTAAAACAGCTGGGATGCATGCTGTAATATCTTTGTGTTTTCAGTGAAAGAGAAATTCAGGAAAATAGATTTTTACGGGATACTCTTGAGACCAGAGAAGGAAGCAGCATCTGATGTGTTGGGGTATGGTGGGAACCAAGTAAAGTTTACTATAGGACTTGATGCTTAAGATGAGTCATTCATTGAGCAAAATTTCTGAGTGTCGGGACACTGAACAAGTATCTGCCTTGTAGGCTGATTGGCTGATTTCATAACATGTATTATAGGAGTTACTTACTTTAGGTATTTGATTTGAGGGGTAATTTGCCCAATGGTATGTCCAAGCCTATATTATAATACATTTATTACAATGCTTTTACTTCTCTTTTGCTTGGACAGGCTACCATACAATCAGGCTTATATTCACTTTATTGTTAGGTTCCTACTGGTTGGGATAGCTTTCATGATAGCATGAAAAAAAATACTTAAGAGACTGTCATAAGGCCCTTAGAAAGGTAATCTCTCTAACAAAGTTCTTACTCAGTAGTCTCTCTGTGGTTCTGCAGAAGTTTTATCTTTGAGAGTATGGTTTCACAGATTAAAGATTCCTGAATCAGGTAGAAATCAAAACCATTCTCTTCTTTAGGAATAGTTTCTCAGCAGTTAAAAGTTTTCCAGAATCCAGAAGTATTATTGAAAACCATAGGAGGTTATTTACCAGGAGATTCCTCTAGGCTTTGGAAGAAATTAATGAATATGTAATTTATTCCCATGGAATGATTTTCACTATAGGAAATTTTTATGGGCTTCCTAATACTTGTTTTTAAGAATTACAACATCAAAGCTACATACTTCTATATTTTCTCAGAAAAGGAATCTGAGGATGAAACAGTAGTATAAGTTAAGATTTTGTTTTGTCATTGTTGTGTTTGAAACAAACCTGTAATCAAAATGCTAAAACATTTTGCCTTCAGGTATCGTCCCAGGTGTGCTTAGCATTGGTCCGGGCTGTGTCAGGGTAATGTTTGCAGGTTGTAGGCCCTCTGTGAAATAACTTAGAGCAATAGGTAAACAAATCAAAGTCCAAAAGAGAGCAACAGAAATGTATTACAGTTTGAGGAAAATATGTATGAGGAAAAATGGTTAAATGGCTTGACATTATATGATTTAAGTAAAGCTCTTTTGTTTAGGAAACAACTCTATGCTGCAAATTAATAGCCTTCAAATATATATTAAAATCAGCTAGTCTGGGTAATTAAAAATGTGTTCTTCTAAGTCATTTTATTATTACAGTTTTTGATTGCAAGAAATTTTATATGCTTTCTAAAATAGAGTGGGGAAGCAGGATAGAATATGATTTGAATTATTCTAATTCATTCACCTTTCTGAACATCAATTAATATATCATCAGTTAATATTACTATTGTTACAAGGGATGTATGCCACTATCCTGAATCATCTTTATTTAATACTGCTTTTCAAGTCTTTTTTGCCCTAATTTTACCCTATTTTCTTTGTGTAAGCATCTTACCTTGACCTGGGTTCCTAATATAACTACTTAGTTACAGGATTTTGTTTTACATGGATGGAAGCAAGTTTTACATGCTTCCAAAAATAGGTGAAATAATAAACTGTAATTTCAATTGTTTTAATTCAGGATCATCTTTCTGAACATCAATTAATATACTCTTCCATCAGTTAATATACTGTTATGAGGGTTGTTTTGCCCTTTCTGAATCATCTTAATCTGTTACTTTTTTGAGTCCATTTTTCTCAGTAATTTTTCTGTCTTATCTTTGTAGTTAGTTTTATCCTGACCTAAATGTTATTATTTATAAAGGGCTATTTCTTATTTACAGATTTTGGTTTTGCTTCAAAAAAGAGAAATTGGCTATCAGATTATCAAAACAAACTGTAGTTTGCAGAGGGAGCAGGGAAAGAGTATTTTAAGAGATATTTGATAAGCTAAACATGGGTCCCCACAGTCCATAAGGCTGAGCAGCTGGGATAGTGACAGCTTCTGTCTGTCAGAGCCCCACTAAAGTCACATTTAGCTGCAGCAGTGATAAGGTTAGGCCTCTGTCCTGTATAGGTGTTTATTAGGGTTTCTTATGCAACCCTCCAGTTAGTCTGTGAACGTATGTTGTTAAGACACCTTCAAAGACTAACTGGAGTGTTGCATAAGAAACCCTAATAAACAAAAAATTTTTATTGTCTAGTCTAGACTTGTAAGAGGCAACTGCCCCTCCATAGCCACAAGCCATCTTCTCCCTGTAGATGCTGGCTTTCTGTAGAAAATGTCATTTTCTCTGCCCTAATTATTAGCCTACCTACCCTGAAACGGTTTGAGTACTGGCTTAAACAACTTTACAATGTGAGTAGCTATAGAATAGATTTGCGTTGGTATTAAGCATGGGTTTTTCCATTTAAATAGAGGCTTTGTGGGTTTAGGATATTTAGTTACTAGATAGAAAAACACCAAAATGAGGGCTTTTCCTTTCTTTAAAACAACTTTCATTATTGAAAATATATTAAAAAGTAAGTTATCTTCTAAAATTCTGAGTGGCTTATTTATTCACTATTGCTCAGGTTTCTGGAGCTACCCAGAAGGCTATTATATATAACTTGGGCTTTTAAAGTTTATTCAGGGTTGATAAGATACCTTAAGTGGTATAATTTTCAACTATTATATATGGTGTAGCTTTAAAAAGAATTTTTTTCTTTAACGTGTACTCTATAAACAATGTGAAAATATGTTAAAACTGAAATGTCTATAGTTTTAGTGGCTTCTTGAAAGATGGGTAGTATTTCTAAGGAAATAACAAAAGGAAGTTTTAATTTTCCAGAAATAATTATGATTATTTGATATACTTGAATAACTTATTACTAATGTGGACTCAAACATAATTTATTTCACATTTTTAAATTAAAGCAATTTTTTAATGGAATGGAAAAACACCAGCTTATCTTAGAAACATTATAAACGTGTCTAAATGCCCTTTTCAAAGCCCTGACGTGGAACTTAGATCCTGTCAGGCAGGCTTTTTTTGTGGGTGTATTAATTCACATTCCACCTGTCAGTGTACCTATAGGTAAAGACATTAAACCACACCCTCTGTTCTGACCTTTTCCTCAGGGGACACTGACTAGAATCCTTTGGCTCAGCGTGAGCGGCTATTTGAATAGCTCAGTTCAGAAGAGCTTTTCCTTTTGAATAGAGTGAAGCAGAAAGAGCAAGGGAAATAATGTTGCAACTGCATTTCTCAAGGCTGCTGCTATGGAGATCTCAAACTTGACCTTCCCTGCCAGGTTCTGCTTTGAAGGCTTACTTATTACCAGACATCTTTAATCTTAAAAGCAGTTTTGCTGCTCATCTGATTAGATGTTTATATTTTTATTCTTCTCTTCAAGGACTTAGTTATTCTAGTTTAAAAGGTGTTTTTGTTTGCTTGCTTTTATTTTTACTTTTGTTGTTTTTTGGTTTTTGTTTTTGTTTGGGTTTTTTTGAGGTGGGGTGAAGATTGATAGAGTCCTAGTTTTTTTAGATTTGTAGGTTTTTTTTCCTGTACTTTCCCCCTCCTTTTATTGTGCAGTTGTATGAATTATGAATTAATTTTATATGTTTTCTTAATAAATTTTTATATTGCTATGGTAGATCTTAATAAGAGGAACTTTTTAATGTATTAGAAAATTGATAAAGCAAATTAGGAAGTTTGGCAGCTGTATCTTCTGGGATGGATTCTTACAGCACCTATTTGGCAACTGTTAAACTCAGTGGCCCGTGGTTGGAAGAGCAAGATGAAGACATTTATGAGGTTGAATCTCGCGTGCCTTTACCACATCCTTTTCCTCTATGTGAACATTTGGATGAAAATAACTCAGTAATTGTTAATACTTCTATTTTCCATTTTATTCATAAAAGAAATGGGCATATATTAAAGCTTATTTCTAAAATTTCACTGCCTACCCCTCCTTATTCAGTAAGTATAAAAAGTATTCATTTAGTTAAACACTATAATGAGAAATTAAATTTTGATTGTCTATATTAAGGTTAAATGGAATAGAACCTTGTTTTGTTGTTGATATGTTACTACTCATTCATCCTAGACGTACTTAAGGGCTAAATTTGGTCTGAGTTCCAACTTGGCTACATTTTTAATTACAGAAAGCAGAATGAGATAGTATTACATTTCTCCAATGCCAGGCAGGTTGTTTAAAAAGATTCGGCTTTTCCTTAAGATTCTTGCTTTTGTATGTTTATGATACCAATCCTGAATAAAAATGGAATGATTATTATATTTGAGAGACTAGGTATTGTGATACTTATAAAACAGCTAAGTGAATTGTCATTGAGCAATTAGGAAACCTTTATAATCATATGATATATTGGCTGTTCCAGACAAGGAAAAAAGGAAGCTTGGGTTCTAACCTAAAGAACTTATTTTTTGTTTTTAATATTCCTCCTAATCTTGTGGAACAACATCCTTTTCTGCTTTTTATATGAAATATATTTTGTAAACATTGTTATGGATGAGTATTTAGCATAAAAAGGCTTGAATATTTAGTATTTCAGGTTCACTACAAGTTATTCAGTATAACTAAAAGTTATTCAGCATCTTTTATGACTTTCAGAGTTTTGTACTGTACTAGCTAATATTTAACAAGCCATATGGTTTTCAGAATAGTTTTGTTACCTCTTCTGCAACTTTTATATTAAAGTGACAGAATATTGACTGATACTTTATATATACTTTTACTGTAATGATAACTTTCTTAAATACTTTAGAAATATTGAATATTAAATTTTTATGTACTTCATATTTTTGTAGATGTTAGGAATAAACACACTCTGAATGGAAGAAAATTCTTTATTAAGTATTTGGATGAACATTTGAATGGTGACTCTTATCTCAGTAAAATATGGATCTTATCTGCTATAATAAATGAATTTTTTTTTTGCTAGATGTATTTGATTGTTCCACTTTTTTTGTTTTGTAAAACTGAAGTTTTTTTCTTGTGGTCTTATGATAAATATTTAAATGGATTTTAAGGCTGGTTAAATCTTGTCAAGAAGTAGAACATAGAAGCAAAGACTTAATTTACTTACTAAAACATGAATTTATTTTGTTGTAAATCCTTTGTTGTATCCCTATAGTAAATTTGAAAAAGGAAAAAAAAATGCATATCCTTTTTAGTCAGATGTATTTACTAGATAATCATTATATAATGAACAGAAAAAAATGACATATGTGTATGTAAAAGCAGTTGTTATGTTTTAACATATGGGTTGTGACTAAATTCAGGAAGTAGTTGTGTATAAATTAGTTCATACTTTATTGTTATATTTATTTGTAATAAAAATTAATCATATTAGTTATCCACATTTAAAGGAAAAACTCTTGCCAGTTAAAAGTAAAACTATTTCTTTTGAGGTAACAACATTTTATCATGAGTATTTTAGGAAATAGTTTATAATTTTAAATGTATGATTAATTTTTTATTATGAGTCTTATATGTGTATTCATGTTAATTTCAAATAAGTTATATATGATATTTAAAATATTCTATTAAAACAAGAATAATTACATACTGGATATTTTGGAAATTGATTTAAAGTGGCCATCAAAAGCTATAGTTTACTCTGAAATCCATTTGCTATGACGAATACCACTCAGATATGAAGAGCAGAAGTCTTTAAAAATATTCTTTAATATTATCGTGATTTTATAATATAGACATGTAACTATAAATTAGAAACCACTACATTTGATCATATTTTAAGCTTAAAATGTAGTAATATCTTTTTAATGCACAAAGTACTTTATATATAAATTTACAAATTCTTACTACTTTACTGTGAGACTGTTATTAATCATGGATTTTAAATGTATTTCATTTCGTTGTGCCAATATGATTTTGTTAATTGATGCCATGGTATTAATCATGTATTATTAGTCCCCAAAAGTATATAGCAAATACTAGAGGAGTCACAGTCAATAAATACTAAATGTAAAATAAAATTTATCATAGACCATATAGTTACATAAAATTCTTTTAAAAATACAATAAATTCCTGTGCTTCATTAACTTTTATCTTCTTGCATATGATAAACTACACATCCATTGATTTAAAGTGGTTTATATTCCAAAAGAAGCATATTCTTTTGTTCAATAAAGCTAGAATACATCACTTTACAGAAAGTTGTACACAGCAATTTACTTGTCTCTAATTTATCCAACCTGCTAATCTTAGCATGCACTGGCAATATCTAATTGACCACAGTTCAGTAATATATCTTTATTTAAAAATCCTTCTTTTTTCCAGCTTTAATGGAGAATAAAACTAGTATTTCCATGCTTTATTTTCTTTTATGTATTGTTTCCCTCTTTGTTTAGCTTGAACATGCGAAAGTTACACAAACAGAATTGATGCGTGAGTCATTTAGACAGAAACAAGAAGCAACAGAGTCCCTTAAGTGCCAAGAGGAACTTCAAGAGCGCCTTCATGAGGAGTCCAGGGCCAGAGAACAGCTAGCTGTGGAGCTCAGTAAGGCTGAGGGTGAGCAATTTGCCATCGACAACTAAGGGTAGAGAAATTTCAGTCTTAAAATAGAGACTGAAGCTAAAAGATGTTATTAAATTGTTAAAGGGCACCATTACCATTAAATGGTTATTCCAGGCTTTGAACCTCTAAAGCCCTATGTTCTTTTTATTATTCTCTGCTGTTACGGGTATTGGCCTCCTAAAATTACTAAAAATACCAACTTTCTAATTATCAAAGTGTGATTTAGTTCACAAGCATCTAATTTGTATTCAGGTCTCCAGAAACTTATTGTTTATATATGTTTAGTAAAGTGAGTTACACCTACGTGATGTGATACTTTAGTATAGCAAAATGTAAGAAAATTCAGAAAAATTTCATGTTTATGCACAATGGTAAACAAAGAAATGTCTGCATTGACCATACCCTATTAAAGGTTAATCATTGCTGCAATGAGCAGCAAATTCATTCAAAACTTTTATTAGGTTGGAATGATGGAAAGTTTTGCTAACAGTACACCATTTGTTGTTTGTATTAAAACCTAGTGGTTAAATTTGAAATAAGTAATAGTTCCATTCTTTGTTAATTTTATTTTATAAGGTGTCATTGATGGCTATGCAGATGAAAAAACTCTTTTTGAAAGGCAAATTCAGGAAAAATCTGATATAATAGATCGCCTTGAGCAGGAGTTGTTGTGTGCAAGTAACAGATTGCAAGAATTGGAGGCAGACCAACAGCAGATCCAAGAAGAAAGAGAATTACTGTCCAGACAAAAGGAAGCTATGAAAGCAGAGGCGGGCCCAGTCGAACAACGTATGTATTTTCAGAATTTGTACGAAACATTTCTCTGATTTTATTATATTCTTCAAAGGTTTGCAGTGGCTTTTTTTCCTCTTTCAGTGCCATTATTCATACATTTGATAGAGAGATTTGAAAAATTATAAGAAAATCTATTTTATAGATAAATGTCCTATTAGCCAATCATGTGGAATCAGGTTGTTTTTGTTTTTGTTTTTGTTTTCCCTTGGGCAGATGTTAACAGGAAAAGATAGTTCTTCATTTATCCTCAAACTTCTGCCTCAGAAGAAATCTGCAAATAATGAGGCAGGATATTTTAAAATGTGTGTAAGGTTTAGTTCTAATAGAGAGGCAGCAAAAATGTATACTTGGATTAAATATCTAAAAGCACTGATCTGGCACTGGTAATGAGCAGGTGGAAGGGATTTTTGACTTGTAAGCAGAGTAGATTTAAAAAGGTCAGTGGCTGGTAGGCTGACATTGAGTTTAATCTAAGTAGGAGTTCAAATAACACTTAAATTTATAAGTACCCTTTCATTTTTCATTAAATAAGAAATTAAGTAATATCTTGAAGTGAAAGTTTATTTAGCAGTAAATGTCAGTCTTTGTAACGATGGAACTTTAAATCCTGTTTACCATGTCCTCTCAGTTTTTTATTACACATACAGTTGGATTTTTAAATGTGAAGTTTCACTGATTTCACTTTATCAGTTTACAAATACAGCATATAGAATTGTAATATAGTTAAGTTTCTTCTGGCTGCTCAAATTAATTAAACAGGTTTAGTTTGGAATTTTTAATGTGGAAAGGATATATCATACATGGAAAACATTTGAGAAATACTGGAACTTCTCAAAATGTTACCAGTGATAATCAATGTCTTCAACTCTTGCTTTTGATACACATGTGTGCATGTGCATTATTCTATTTTAGGAATTAGAAGACATATAAATTTTACTTTCGTTGTGTCTTTTTTTTGTTTTGTTTTTCTCTATTCTCCTAGGACTAGTAGATGCTGCAGTCGATGCAGCACCGGGAGCAGGTGTGTGTATACAATTGCATGGCCACCGTTTGGGTGGTAGAGATAACTCCAAAATGTGGGTGATCTCTGGATTTTCAACCAACTAACATATCTCTAGTTTTGCAGTGTTGCTCTTGTTTCATACTTACAGTTTTTCTCTTTAACAACAAAAAAACTTTTCTTACGATAAAAGTACATATTTTCATTTGAAATTAACATCTGAGATTCATACTGACCATCATCTTACGGTGTCTATTTTTGTATAGAGCTTAAAGCTATTTTGATTTTTGTTTGTTTGTTTGTTTTTTGAGATGAAGTCTTGCTCTGTTGCCCAAGCTAAAGTACAGTGGTAACGATCTTGGCTCACTGTAACCTCCTCCTCCTGGGTTCAAGCAGTTCTTCCACCTCAGCCTTCTGAGTAACTGAGACTACAGGCGGGAGCCACCACGCCTGGTTAATTTTTTGTACTTTTAGTAGAGACAGGATTTCACCATTTTGGCCAGGCTACTCTTGATCTCCTGGACTCAGGTGATGCCTCCACCTTGGCCTCCCAAAGTGCTGGGATTACAGGTGTGATCCACTGCACCTAGCCATTTTAATTTTTTTAAGAAAACATTTAACAAATATATTAAGCTCTTTGAATCTATGAGTTTTTAAAATGCTCCTTCTAAATCAGGAAGTATGTAAGATGATGGTAGCAAAAGGATCAATGAAATTTAGTAAGAGGCTTTCTGGTGATTTATTTTTATATTAACATCTAATATTAGTATTATTTTAAAAGGAAAGTTATTTTCTAGAGATTCCTAGTCCTGAATACAGTGTTGGCATACCAGTTAGTTTAAAGACTGCAGGGATATGTTCTTTCCATTTTCTTCATTAGAAGATTGTTTTACTTTTGCTACATATACTTTGTTATTATATTAATAATAATAATAATAATGGCTAACACATGGTGCTTACCATACCTCAGACATTCTTCTTTACATATATTAACTCATTTAACGCCAAAATAACTCTAAGAAATCAGTAATAATATTATTCTCAGTTTACATATAAGGAAACTAAAGGACATCATCATAATTGTCATGTGGGAGGTAAGTTGCTGGGCTAGGTTGAGCCTACAGTACGTTCTTTTTTTTTTTTTTTTTTTTTTTTTTTGAGACGGAGTCACCCACTGTCACTCAGGCTGTAGTGCAGTGGCGTGATCTCAGCTCACTGCAATCTCTGCCTCCTGGGTTCAATCAATTCTCCTGTCTCAGCCTCCCAAGTAGCTGGGACTACAGGCATGCGCCACCAAGCCCAGCTAATTTTTTTGTGTTTTTTATAGAGACGAGGTTTCACCATGTTGGCCAGCATGGTCTCGATCTCCTGACCTCATGATCCACCCGCCTCAGCCTCCCAAAGTGCTGGGATTATAGGTGTGAGCCACCACCCCCAGGCGAGCCTACAGTATGTTCTTAAACACTACACCACACAGCCTGTCATACATGTCAGTTTTCTGTTGATTGACATACATGTGACCATGCAAAAGCAACTCAGGAATATGGATCTAATAAGGGGTAAGACTAACAGGAAATTTCAATTATATCTGTTTATACTTCTGTAACTCTTACTTGCCTTGGTTAAAGATTTACAGTGTTTAATCTACTGTTTATTGTGTATGCAAATAAAATTGACTTTGTGGGTTTGGAATGAATTGCTTTTTGCCTGAGGTGAAAAAAACAGTGAATTTTTTCTGTGCTTGAATTTAATTACACTTTGTTCTTTGCCCAGTAGTAAAAATAGATTCTTTTTGGTCATTTGCTATTTTGTTTTCACAAAAATATTATTTTTAGTGACAGGACACTTTTTTTTGGTTAATTCCATATAATTTTATTAAGATCTTGTTTACTTATGTAGAAATAATGTAATTTTGATATTTTCGTAAGAGAATATTTACTTTGTCATGTGTATTTAAAATAATTCTTAGCCTTTTATTTCATGAAGGTAAAATTTGGACATAGTTATCAGGGATTTCATTATCATAACATCATTCATTGTCATTTAACTCCATATACTTTGTATTAATAAACAGAATTACTACAGGAGACAGAAAAATTAATGAAGGAAAAACTAGAAGTACAGTGTCAAGCTGAAAAAGTACGCGATGACCTTCAGAAACAAGTGAAAGCTTTAGAAATAGATGTGGAAGAACAAGTCAGTAGGTTTATAGAGCTGGAACAAGAAAAAAATGCTGAACTAATGGATTTAAGACAGCAAAACCAAGCACTGGAAAAGCAGTTAGAAAAAATGAGAAAATTTTTAGATGTAAGTATTCTCAAGTTGAATATCGATTTTTCTCAGTGGAATGTTCTTTGCTCGTATTCTAGGCTATGAATTTTAAGTTACGAAAAGACTTGAGTTAGTTTTTCAGTGTTCTATTAGGAGTCTCTTCTACCAACTGATCAAAAAGTACTATTCCAATTTAAGATTCCAATAATTTTTATTGTGCAGCACTCAGAATTAAAATCAGTACATTTCATCGTATATTGAATTATACATAATAAAAAGTATGACTACGCCCCACTAGTTTACCTTTTCAAATTCAGATAAGAAGCTAATTCTAGTTTTTTATTTAACCAGACTAAGATAGGCAAAGAGATAATGGACCACCACTGTTTCATCTGTAAAAGATACAGGTAATAGTGTGACCATTGGAAATAGGCCTGGCACAGTGATTGTGCTGCCATTACTCTCTTCCAAAAAGATGTTAAATCTCTAATTTCACATTTTGTTTTCTTTTTAGATTTCACATAAGCCTAATATTCTCTTCATAGATCAGAGAATCAGATTCTTACTCATTTTATAACTTTAGGCATAAAACCTAGATTAGGATTCAGGAAATTGATGTACCAAACAATTTGTTTTAATTATTTTGTTTAACGACTAAATCAACAGTGGAATTCCTCCTTTGTTCTAGAAAAGTAAATTCATTTTAAGGTGACTATTTTTTCACCCTGTGTTTAATATTACTTGAATTAAAAAAAAGTACTTCAAAAAATAGTTAAATATTAATACTTTAATTTTTGTTGAGAAGCCCAAAAAGGCTTCTTTTTGTGCCATACAAAAAAATAAAATGTTATCTTTTAAAACTTTTGTGGTTTGGGATATTCCATGATCATCAGTCCTTGGTCTTCAAACAAAACTAACACATAACTAATGGAGAAGTCAGAAATAATAGCTTCACTAAATACTGTTTCTTGAGTTACTATCATTGTTATTATTAAACTTTAGGAGCAAGCCATTGATAGAGAACATGAGAGAGACGTATTCCAACAGGAAATACAGAAACTAGAACAGCAACTTAAGGTTGTTCCTCGATTCCAGCCTATCAGTGAACATCAAACTAGAGAGGTAAGAACGTTACCTATATTGCCCACCTTACAGTAATTTGTATCAAAGGTAAATTAAGATGTACATCATGAAAAACTTAAAAGTGGATTATTTCTGTTGATGTAAATTCAAAATTAGAAAATTTAATATTATTTAAGTGTGAGAAGATAATTAACCCTAAAAATCATTCGTGTTGAAATTTGGAATCATTTCCATCTGCATATGTCTTCTAGTATTTCCCAATTAAATAAACTCTATTTCTTTATTCCCATTCCTAACAAAAGTAATCAAAAGAGTAATCTGTCTTCACTCTTTCTCATTTCTCATTCTCTTATTAGTCCACTCCAATGAAGTATCCAACCCTTATCTCTCAGTAGGGTTATACCTTCTACTTCATTTAAATTGTTCTTGTTAAGGTGACCCAGAGCCTCATGGCTATAGCTAATATCCACCTCTGTTTCCATCCTACTCAACCATTCAGAGGCATTTATTGCAGCCTTCTCCCAGAAATACTTCCTTCTCTTGGTTTCTGTGACACACCTACTCCACTGATCTCTCTCCTTAGTCTTTGTTTTTCCTTTTCCAACATCAGGATTGGGATGATGATCATCAGAATGGTCATGTTTACCCAACATAAATGATGGAGTACCTCAGAACTTCCTACCCAACCTAAATGATGGAGTACCCCAAAAAGTAAATGGCCCCTTTTTATTCCCAATGTATTGCCTCTTCCCAAGCAGTCATATATAAATGACCCTACGTTTGTACTTCCATCCCTGACATCTCTGTTAAGCTCCAGAATTGGATATCCAGTGCCTACCCTATCTCCACTTAGATGTCTCAGAAATTAACCTGTCCAAAAGAGAGGTCTTGATTCCTGATTAGCCATTACCAGAGAAAGATAAGCATAAAACATTTTCCGGAGAAGCATCCCAGCAACGCTACCACGGTCGATCTTCCCGGACACCATGAACCACACTGTCCAAACCTTCTTCACTCCCGCCAGCGCCGACCGTCCCCCAAGCTATGAGATGCTGAAGGAGGAGCATGAGGTGGATGTGCTGGGGGTGCCCCACAACCCTGCACCCCCGACATCCACCGTGATCCACATCCGAAGCGAGACCTCTGTGCCTGACCATGTCGTCTGGTCCCTGTTCAACACCCTCTTCATGAACTCCTGCTGCCTTGGCTTCATAGCGTTTGCCTACTCCGTGAAGTCTAGGGACAGGAAGATGGTTGGCAACCTGACCGGGGCCCAGGCCTGCGCCTCCACTGCCAAGTGCCTGAACATCTGGGCCCTGATTTTGGGCATCATCATGACCATTCTGATGATCATCATCCCAATCCTGATTCTGCAAGCCTATCAGTAGATCCAGAGGAATCACCCAGTCCAGGGGCTCTGCCCGTGACCTGTGTGTCTCCCTGGTACTCCAGCTTCCATCCCTCGCCCTGCCCCCAGCCCTTCCTGTATCAGCCCTTTACCCTCACACACTTTTCTGCAGTGGCGTTCAATAAAGTGCACATGCTCCTGGAAAAAAAAAAAAGCATAAAACATTTTCCTTCTTCATCTCAGTAAATTCTGTACCTTCTAACCTGTCCCATTGCTGAGAACAAGAATCAGCCTTCATTCCCCTCTGTTTCTCAACTCCTACTTCCAACCCATTGATGGGTCAGATTGCACTACATCTTTCTGTTCTTTGCACTTTTGTTGATCTCCCTACATCCCAGTTGTCATTGTTTGCCTGGATCACTGTGGTAGCCTCTTAACCAGTCTCCCTGCTTCTCCTTTTTCACTCCAACTGCCCATTTTTCTCTTAGAAACGTAGTCAAAACTCCACATTTCCAAAATGAATGTTACATGAATGAGAGAGGATTCACTGTCTAATTACCTAAAGATGGCTTGTCATGGTGATAAAGACATTGTGCTTAGGGTAAGGCAATCCCAGTTTGTATCATGACTCTGCCATTTACTAGTTAGTGACAATAACTAAGTCAGTTAACCTCTCAAATCTCTGTTTCTTCGTTTCTAAAACAGAGATTGTAATAGCACCCACATCATAGGAATGTTGACCTGGCACATAGTGAACACTTTAGTATTATTTCTGAAAACAATTTTTATTTCGAATGTAATTTCTAAACAGTTTAGTGGATTCATTTCTCTTAAAAGAAAGCCAAAGAAGTATAGAGTGCCTGTGAACTCCTTGTAATAAAATGTTATATACTACAGTAGTACAAAAGTTACCAGTCTCCAGTTTCTAGTCATTGCCCTATTTCTAACAAATATATTTTCAGCTTTTAAAAAATAGTCATTTGTTGGACTTCAAAGAATATTTAAGCTCTAGAACCTACGCTGTCATTTCCTATTATGTAGTTATATTTTATTTGAAAACATTGGCCTGCTTCACTTGTAAAACTTTAAGAAACTAGCAAAGATATGCATGTTTTTTTTCTCCCTAAGAACACTGTAATCTATTTCTCACCTTACTTTGCTAGATCTGATTCTTAGCTTCTGATTTTCTCAAGATTAAAAAAAAAAAAATTCTTACTCTAAATCTTAGTCAATTTATTGTTAAAGTTTCTCCTCAGCAGCTTTTTTTTTTTCCTCTCTCTTTAAAACTGACTGCACATATCAGTGGCTTTATTGCTATCATCTGTGAACCTAAAATTGTGGTGAAGCTTGCATTCTTTTAATGTTCTGAGAAATAACTGTCATTTTATAGATAATTTCCTCAGAATATTTCACTGAAAAAAAAGCTAGAATTACTTTATTTCTTACCATCACATGTTGCTTTTTTTAAACTAAGCTTTCCTTCCCCACTTTTCATACAGTACTGCTAATCCTTCTTGTATTCTTCTGTCACAGAACCATTCACTTGAAGGGATCTGCATATCATTCTTAGGCAATAGGTTTTGGCACACATCATTATTTTAGTTAAAGGAGAAACCAAGACTAGAGACACATAGGGAAATCTTCAAGGTGCACAGGTCCCTCTCACTCTCCTTCATCCTTATCTCTTTCCTAGGCTGATGGAATGTATAGATGGAAAAAGCTTTCCCAATGACTGTTTTCAAAATATAGTCCATGAAAGATTTATTTGGGTCATATAAGAATAAATCAGTACTCTGCAAATTTGTCATCTTTATTAGGATTTAGTGTGGTTGTGCCATTAGATAATTCGGCCTTATGAAAAATGCATTTTTTCCCACTTCCTAGCTAGAGAAAGTCTTAGTCTTAAGAGAAAGAACTCTTTGTAGCCGGGCGCGGTGGCTCAAGCCTGTAATCCCAGCACTTTGGGAGGCCGAGGCGGGTGGATCACGAGGTCGAGAGATCGAGACCATCCTGGTCAACATGGTGAAACCCCGTCTCTACTAAAAATACAAAAAATTAGCTGGGCATGGTGGTGCGTGCCTGTAATCCCAGCTACTCAGGAGGCTGAGGCAGGAGAATTGCCTGAACCCAGGAGGCGGAGGTTGCGGTGAGCCGAGATCGCGCCATTGCACTCCAGCCTGGGTAACAAGAGTGAAACTCCGTCTCAAAAAAAAAAAAAAAGAACTCTGTAAACAGTTGTGTAACTGAAAAAAAATTTAGACATTATCAGTGTTAGTCTGTACTCCAAATGATCACAAACATAATCATTTTTATTTCTCTCAATTATTAACACTTATGTGAAATAAATTATTTTAAAATTCTGAAAAAAGTGAAAAAACTCTTTAAAAGAATTATGTGAAAACAATGTTACGTGTCATCTACTAGTGTTGCTTAATATTTTCAACTTGTAAAATGTTACGTTTGTTGGAAACAACAGTTGCATCTATATAAAAAGTGAAATTAGTATAACATTTAAAAATAATTTTTGGAAAAAAAATTTTTGAAGTGAAGATAGGTTTTATATGCATTGAGTATTCCTTATCTAACATGCTTGAGAGAAGCGTTTCAGATTTCAGATATTTTGAATTTTGTAATATTTGCATTATATTTACCTATTCATCATCCTAATTGGAAATGTGAAATTCTTCAATGAGCATTTCCTTTGAGCATGATGTCAGTGCTCAGAAAGTTCCAGATTTTGACCTGGACTTCGTGCTGTGCATCTGTAGTGCCAGGCTGTTGATGCAGGAGGGTTGCTTGAGCCCAAAAGTTTGAGGCTGTAGTGCATGGCAATCATGCCTGTAAATAGCCACTGCATTCTAGCCTAAGGCAACATAATGAGACTCGATTTTTTAAACAGACAAACAAAAATGTTTCAGATTTTGGAGCATTTTGGATTTTAGATATCCAAAATGAGGGATAACTCAACTTATACTGACTAGCTTGCTGAAATTTTTTTAACTTAAATGTTTTGCCTCATATTTCAGGTTGAACAGTTAACAAATCATCTGAAAGAAAAAACAGACAAATGCAGTGAGCTTTTGCTCTCTAAAGAGCAGCTTCAAAGGGATATACAAGAGAGGAATGAAGAAATAGAGAAACTGGAGTTCAGAGTAAGAGAACTGGAGCAGGCACTGCTCGTGAGTGCTGATACTTTTCAAAAGGTATGGCATTTTATTTGGACTAACTTTATTAAGTGTTTTAATGAAGGGTACTAGTAAATTGTCGACTTCTTGTAGGTATTATTACAGAATGTGTTTATCTGTTGATATCATAACCATTTCTGTTTGTTCTTATATCATGTTGCTTGCATATCTTAGTCTTGAGAAGGGACAAGTAGTTGAACTAGAAGAATTAATTACTCTTTTAGCCATCAGTAATAGCTAAGTGAAAAACGGGTACCAGTTTAGCTTGATACTTTACCCCAAACTAAGAAGGAATGAAATTCATCCCCATCATACTGCAGAAAGCACAAATGGGTAGGGGATCCATTCATTTTATCCGAGGAATGAATTTTAATTGTCAAAAATTCCTGTTTGAGTTTACAGAAAATACATTTAAAAGTGAGCATCTACAACTTTTTTTTTGTCTTGAGATGGAGTTTCACTCTTGTTGCCCAGGCTGGAATCCAATGGCGTGATCTTGGCTCATAGCAACTTTGCCTCCCAGATTCAAGTGATTCTCCTGCCTCAGCCTCCCAAGTAGCTGGGATTACAGGCATGTGCCACCATGCCAGACTAATTTTGTATTTTTAGTAGAGACAGGTTTTTTCCACGTGGGTCAGGCAGCTGGTCTTGAACTCCAGACCTCAGGTGGATCCGTCCGCCTCAGTCTCCCAAAGTGCTGGGGTTATAGGCGTGAGCACTGTACCTGGCCAACGTTTTTATTATTCATTAATTAGAAGTAGACTTTCTAGTTGGAGAAATAGGACTGCTGCCTCAAAAAAAAAAAAAAAAAAAAAAAAACCTGGATAATCAGGATTTAATTTATGAAATTTTGAGAAAATTTTTATATATTTAAAGGTGGAAGACCGAAAACAGTTTGGAGCTATAGAAGCTAAACCAGAATTGTCTCTGGAAGTACAATTACAGGCTGAGCGAGATGCCATAGACAGAAAGGAAAAAGAGGTAAGGAGTTTATTTTTAAATGACATGGTGGGGTTTGAATTATTTTAAATCAGTTACCCTGAAAATATCATTTGAAACTAATGGAGTTTGTGATCTAAAACCCAACTTGAGGCTCTTTCTCAGCTCAGTGATAAAATTGACCTTGAAGACAGAAAACGTGATATATATATAATTCTATAGAATTACAGAGTTATAATTTACTAAACAGGGAAAGGAATGGAAGGATTTCAGAAAAAGTTATATTCAATAGGTTTTAGCTCTCTGTAGAGCTAATGAAATCTAGCTTACAGATAGCAATAATAAATAATAATAGTTAATTTTGTTAAGGCCTATGTAACTAGACAGTACTAAGTATTTTAAATGCCTTTTACCGTTAACACTTAGACTCTTCCCAACGACAGGCTCTGTTATCTCCATTTTGCACATGTGTAAACTGGGCCTTAAGAGGTTAAATAACTTGATCATGGTCACACATTAAACGGTCAAAAAGAATACCTCTCAGATTTCTGTGAGTCAGAAGCCCTTGTGATACTATACTGCCAAGCACTGGGGCCTGTTTTGTCTTGTTGGTGAGAAGTATTAAAGACTGCCATTCAACATTTAACGAGCTCTTGCACATGGAGCATCAGTGTCCAGTTGTAAAACCAGCACTGGATGTCAAGGAATCTACTGTGTAATTAAGGAGACGTGTACATTTGAAAGAGGTAAAAACACTTTGCAAAAAAGAAAACAAAAATAGATGTAAATTAATGTAAATATTAATTATAATTATTAGATAAATTAAACAAGATTAAAATAAATATAAACCAGCCTATATTAAAGCAAATATAGACCATTTTAAAATCTTAATAATGTTCTTCTAGTTGTGGGTGGTTACAGGCTCAATAATAAGAGAGCCTGGTACTAAACTGGAACCTGACTGAATAAGAGAAAAGAATGTCCCATAGTATCATTTGGGGGAAGTGAATTCTCTGATAGGACATCTGAACTTCAGCTACTTACAAGAGGAAAGTTAGTGCTTTAGACCAGTGCATTTCAAACTTTAATGCACATGCGAATCACCCAGGGATCTTGTTAAAACACAAGTCTTATTCAAAAATTTACTCAAGATGGATTGAAGACTTAAATGTAAGACCTAAAGCCATAAAAACCCTGGAAGAAAATCCATTCAGGACATAGGCATAGGCAAGGACTTCATGACTAAAACACCAAAAGCAATGGCAGCAAAAGCCAAAATTGACAAATGAGATCTAATTAAAATAAAGAGTTTCTGCACAGCAGAAGAAACTATCATCAGAGTGAACAGGCAACCTAGAGAATGGGAGAAAAGTGTTGCAATCTATCCATCTGGCAAAGGGCTAATATCCAGAATCTACAAGGAACTTAAACAAATTCACAAGAATAAAACAATCCCATCAAAAAGTGGGCAAAGGATATGAGCAGACATTTCCCAAAAGAAGACATTTATGTGGCCAACAAACATGAAAAAATGCTCGTCATCACTGGTTGTTAGAGAAATGCAAAGCAAGACCACAGTGAGATACCATCTCATGCCAGTTACAATGGCAATTATTAAGAAGGAAATAACAGATGCTAGAGAGGATGTGGAGAAATAGGAATGGTTTTACCCTGTTGGTGGAAGTGTAAATTAGTTCAACCATTGTGAAAGACGGTGTGGTGATTCCTCAAGGATCTAGAACCAGAAATGTCATTTGACCCAACAATCCCATTACTGGGTATATACCCAAAGGATTATAAGTCATTCTACTGTAAAGACACATGCACATGTATGTTTATTGCAGCATTGTTCACAATAGCAAAGACTTGGAATCAACCCAAGTGGCCATCAGTGATAGACTGGATAAAGAAAATGTGGCACACCCAGACAGATTTACAGCCAAATTCTACCAGATGTACAAAGAGGAGCTGGGACCATTCCTTCTGAAACTATTCCAAACAATATGAAAAGAGAGAATCCTCCCCAACACATTTTATGAGACCAACATCATCCTAATACCAAAACCGGGCAGAGACGCAATTAAAAAAGAAAACTTCAGGCCAGTATCCATGATGAACATTGACACAGAAATCTTCAATAAAATACTGGCAAACAGAATGCAACACCAAATTAAAAAGCTTACTCATCATGATCAAGTAAGCTTCATCCTGGGAATGCAAGGCTGGTTCAACATATGCAAATCCATAAATATAATCCATCACATAAACAGAACCAAAGACAAAACCACATGATTATCTCAATAGATGCAGAAAAGGCCTTTGACAAAATTCAACAGCCTTTTATGCAAACAACCCTCAATAAACTAGGTGTCAAGGGTACGTATCACAAAATAATAAAAGCTGTTTACGACAAACCCACAGCCAATATCATACTGAACGGGCAAAAACTGGAAGCATTCCCTTTGAAATCTTGCACAAGATGGCAGGGCGTGGTGGCTCATGCCTGTAATCCAAGCACTTTGGAGGCCAAGGCAGGCGGATCACCTGAGGTCGGGAGTTCAAGACCAGTCTGACCAACATGGTGAAACCCTGTCTTCTTAAAAAAAAAAAAAAAGAAAGAAAGAAAGAAATCTGGCACAAGACAAGAATGCGCTCTCTCACCACTCCTATTCAATTTAGTATTGGAAGTCCTAACCAGAGTAGTCAGGCAAGAAAAAGAAATAAAGGATATTCAATTAGGAAAAGAGGAAGCCAAATAGTCTGTATTTGCAGATGACATGATTGTATATTTAGAAGACCCTGTCATTTTAGCCCGAAATCTCCTGAAACTGATAAGCAACTTCAGCAAAGTCTTAGGATACAAAATCAATGTGCAGAAATCACAAGCATTTCTATACACCAATAACAGACTTAAAGAGAGCCAAATCAAAAGTGAACTCCATTCACAATTGCTACAAAGAGAATAAAATACCTAGGAATACAACTAACAAAGGATGTAAAGGACCTCTTTAAGGAGAACTACAAACCACTGCTCAATGAAATAAGAGAGGACACAAACAGATAGAAAAACATCCCATGCTCATGGTTGGGAAGAATCAACATTGTGATAATGGCCCTACTGCCCAAAGTAATTTATAGATTCAATGCTGTCCCCATCAGGCTGCCAATGACCTGCTTCACAGAACTGGAAAAAGCCACTTCAAGGCCAGGCGCGGTGGCTCAAGCCTGTAATCCCAGTACTTTGGAAGGCCGAGGCGGGTGGATCACAAGGTCAAGAGATCGAGACCATCCTGGTCAACATAGTGAAACCCCGTGTCTACTAAAAAAAATACAAAAAATTAGCTGGGCATGGTGGCGCATGCCTGTAATCCTAGCTACTCAGGAGGCTGAGGCAGGAGATTTGCCTGAACCCAGGAGGCGGAAGTTGCGGTGAGCCGAGATCACGCCATTGCACTCCAGCCTGGGTAATAAGAGCGAAACTCTGTCTAAAAAAAAAAAAAAAAAAAAAAAAAGCCACTTCAAACTTCATATGGAACCAAAAGAGAGCCCACATAGCCAAAACAATCCTAAGCAAAAAGAACAAAGCTGGAGGCATCACGCTGCCTGACTTCAAACTATACTACAAGGCCACGGTAATGAAAACAGCACGGTACTGGTACCAAAACAGAGATATAGACCAATGGAACAGAATAGAGGCCTCAGAAGCAACACCACACATCTGCAACCATCTGATCTTTAACAAACCTGAGAAAAATAAGCAATAGGTAAAGGATTCCCTGTTTAATAAATGATGTTGGGAAACTGGCTAGCCATGTGCAGAAAGCAGAAACTGGACCCCTTCCTGACACCTTACACTAAAATTAACTCCAGATGGATTAAAGATCTAAACATAAGACCTAATACCATAAAAACCCTAGAAGAAAATGTAGGCAGAATCATTCAGGACATAGGCATAGGCAAAGACTTCATGGCTAAAACACCAAAAGCAATGGAAACAAAAGTGAAAATAGACAATGGGATCTAGTTAAACTCCAGAGCTTCTGTATAGCAAAGGAAACAATCATTAGAGTGAACCAGCAACCAACAGAATGGGAAAAAATTTTTGCAATCTACCCATCTAATAAAGGGCTAATATCCAGAATCTACAAAGAACTAAAACAGATTTACAAGAAGAAAACAAACCCATCCAAAAGTGGGTGAAGGATATGAAGAGACACTTTATGAAAGAAGACATCGATGAGGTCAATAAGCATATGAAAAAATGCCCCTCATCACTGGTCATTAGAGAAATGCAAATCAAAACCATATTGAGATACCACCTCTTACCAGTTAGAATGGTGATCATTAAAAAATCTGGAGACAACAGATGCTGGAGAGGATGTGGAGAAATAGGAACACTTTTACATTGTTGGTGGGAGTGCAAATTAGTGCAACTATTGTGGAAGACAGTATGGCGATTCCTCAAGGACCTAGAAATAGAAATACCATTTGACCCAGCAATCCCATTACTGGGTATATACCAAAGAATTATAAATTGTTCTATCATAAAGACACATGTACATGTATGTTCATTGTAGCACTGTTTACAATAGCAAAGACTTGGAACCAACCCAAATGTCCATCATCGATAGACTGGTTAAAGAAAATGTGGCACATATACACCATGGAATACTACACAGCCATAAAAAATGATGAGTTCATGTCCTTTGTAGGGACATGGATGAATCTGGAAACCATCATTGTCAGCAAACTAACACAAGAACAGAAAACCAAACACTGTATGTTATCACTCATAGGTGGGTGTTGAACAATTAGAACACTTGGACACAGGGAGGGGAACATCACACACTGCAGTCAGTAGGGGATGGCTAGGGGAGAGACAGCAGGGGTGGGGAGGGTGGGGAGGGATAATGAGGGGAGAAATACCAGATATAGGTGATGAGGGGATGAAGGCAGCAAACCACCTTGCCATGTATTTACCTGTGCAACAATCCTGCATGATGTGCATGTGTACCCCAGAACCTAAAGTACAAAAATAAATAAATAAAAATAAAAGAAAATGTGGCACATATACATCGTGGAATACTATGCAATCATAAAAAAGATGAGTTCATGTTCTTTGCAGGGACGTGGTTGAAGCTGGAAGTCATCCTTCTCAGCAAACTAACATAGGAACAGAAAACCATACACTGCATGTTCTCAGTCATAAGTGGGAGTTGAACAATCAGAACACGTGGAGACAGGGCGGGCAACACTACACACTGGGGCCTGTTGCAAGGGTCGAGGGCTACAGAAAGGATAGCATTAGGAGAAATACCTAATGTAAATGACGGGTTGATGGGTGCAGCAAACCACTATGGCACGTACACACCTATGTAACAAAACTGCATGTTCTGCACATGTATCCCAGAACTTAAAGTATATTTTTTAAAAAATGGTTAAAAAGGAAGATATAATAGAGTTCATTTCCTATCTGATTACTGTAAAACAATAAAATGAGTCAAAAATAAAAATAAATAAATAAAACACAAGTCTGGGGAGTAACATGGCATTTTGCACACCTAACATGGTCCCACATGATACTACCTCTACCACTCCCAAGACCACACTTTGAATAGCAAGGCATCATATCACAGAGTTGAGAATTTGGTCATAAACTGTTGAATGAAAAAAGGAAATGTCATGTGAGGTAGGGTGGCAATTTTGAACTTAAATAACTATTTACGTGTTAATTTTAAAATAATATCTTGTTGTCAAAGTAGTTGTAGAAATGTAAGAATAGTTGTAAATACTATGTTAGAACACTTTGAAGAAGATATAATCATTACAATTTTCAAGAACCTGATAATTATTTATGTTCAGTCATTAAATGTATTTCAGTGTCTACTGAGTTTAATAACCAGGGTTAAAGAAAATTTTTTAAGTGTAAGTCTTAGACATTAGTTATTCGAAGCAGGATAAGTGATAGTTTAGAGTGGAAGATTCAGAGATAAACTTGTCAGGTTCAAAAGCTGGCTTCTCCACATACTCGCCATGTGGCCTCAAGACAAATTCCTCCTCTCTGTGATGCCCATCCTCATCTCTAAAATGGGGATACTCATAGAACTTATCTCATAAGGTTGTTACATAAGAAATAATACATAAAAAACATTTTGTACAGTGTTTAGCAGTAAACTATTTACAAGTAATGGCTATTACTACTAGTACTAATACTGTTTCTGTTTAAGAAATGCTAAGCTAACTGATTTTTAAGGACTTACCAATGCTCAGATATGGTTCTCATTATGTGATTTGTTAGTGTTTAATCAGCAGTGCCCTCCTTCAGTTTCTAAGGCTGTAAGTTATTTATAGGCTGCTTTCTGAGCCACTTATCACTAAGTGCTCCCAAGGACAGGCTCTGTTGTCTTAGATAACAGAGATGCTCCTGCATCTTCATTTGCTTTTTGATCAGCAATTTTGATCATGAGGCAAATAGACATTTAGAAATTATTCATTCACAGGCCGGGCGCGGTGGCTCAAGCCTGTAATCCCAGCACTTTGGGAGGCCGAGGCGTGTGGATCACGAGGTCGAGAGATCGAGACCATCCTGGTCAACATAGTGAAACCCTGTCTCTACTAAAAATACAAAAAACTAGCTGGGCGTGGTGGCGCGTGCCTGTAATCCCAGCTACTTAGGAGGCTGAGGCAGGAGAATTGCCTGAGCCCAGGAGGCAGAGGTTGCGGTGAGCCGAGATCGCGCCATTGCACTCCAGCCTGGGTAACGAGAGCGAAACTCCGTCTCAATAAATAAATAAATAAATAAATAAATAAATAAATAAATAAATGAAATTATTCATTCACTTTGTATTAAGTAGCAACAAACTAGTGAGTTAAATGAATGTTACTATCCTCTGTCAAAACCAATTTTAAATATAAAAATAACTAGTTCTTAATATTCATTAGTTTCAGTCTCTAAGCATCAAAAAGCAGTTGCTTTGCCATTGTTGATAAACCATCCCATCCTCAAAATAATTAAATAAATTTCTGTTGTCCTACCTATAGGAACTATCTAATTTTCTTCTGAAACCGTAAAATTCATTTACTCTAAGGTTTTTGTAATTCAGACCTAAGGATCTCTTAGTCTTAGTTTCTTTCTTTCTTTCTTTCTTTCTTTTTAATTTAAATTAAATTTTATTTTATTTATTTTTTTTTTTTTTGAGACGGATTTTTGCTCTTGTTACCCAGGCTGGAGTGCAATGGCATGATCTCGGCTCACCGCGACCTCCGCCTCCTGGGTTCAGGCAATTCTCCTGCCTCAGCCTCCTGAGTAGCTGGGATTACAGGCATGTGCCACCATGCCCAGCTAATTTTTTGTATTTTTAGTAGAGACGGGATTTCATCATGTTGACCAGGATGGTCTCGATCTCTTAACCTCGTGATCCACCCACCTCGGCCTCCCAAAGTGCTGGGATTACAGGCGTGAGCCACTGTGCCCGGCCTCCTAGTCTTAGTTTCTACCTCGGCTTCCTTTGCTTAACAAGCCACATGGCAGCCAGATCTTTTAATGAGTTAATTAGATATTTGTAGACTAAAATGAGTTGGTCTTATTCAGTGACTTAAAAAAACAAACAATTCTACAACTTTTTTAGGCCTTTTGATAGCAACTAAATATAACATAAACTAAGATTTACTATATGGACTCTTCCCCTTCCTTCTTTGACTTCTCTGCTTCATGAGAAGATATTTAGTTAGGAAATGGCTCCTTTTATCCTTCTTCAGGTTTCCTCTCTGCTTTGCATAGAATAGTTTAAGGGTGGCCAGTTTGAACATGCCTAGGAACCACACAGGTAACACAGGTTATTCCTGGCTTAGAAAAACCACATTCTTTTAGTCTTATGACTCATGTTCTAGGCATACATATGTTGTAAAGCTAATATAGCATTCTTCATTTTATCTTGATAAACATTTGTATAAACATTTTTTCTCTTTTGATAATTTTTATATTAAAGATTACAAACTTAGAAGAGCAATTAGAACAATTTAGAGAAGAACTGGAAAATAAGAATGAAGAAGTTCAACAACTACATATGCAATTAGAAATACAGAAAAAGGAATCCACTACCCGCCTGCAAGAACTTGAACAAGAAAACAAATTATTTAAGGTAATTAGTTTAGAAACACTCTTAACTATAAATAATTCATAGTTTCAGTCTTATATTGGCTTTATTAAACATTCGGTAAATCTAGCTGTTAAATAGTAGTTAATAGAGGGACATTAACAGGCAGACACATTTGCATAGAACCTATTTTCAGCCCAACCTGAACATCTGTATATCAGAAATGAAAATTTTAGGATTATGTATCAAAATATTTTAAGAATTGTTGATTTACAATAACCATATGGTATCTCTAGTTTTATTCATTGTACATTATAGGCTCTATTATCTTTTGTAATTATGTTCTGAAAATGACATGTAATGATATATCCAACTGTGATGATTATTTTGTTCCTAGGATGACATGGAGAAACTGGGACTTGCCATAAAGGAATCTGATGCTATGTCTACGCAGGACCAACATGTGCTCTTTGGGAAATTTGCTCAAATAATACAGGAAAAAGAGGTAGAAATTGACCAATTAAATGAACAAATTATGAAACTCCAGCAGCAACTTAAAATTACAACAGATAACAAGGTATATTCATATAAAATTGATTATGAAATTAATATGAGCCTGAGTTTTAAAGGGCAAAATGGTTATAATGTTGCTTCCCATTTAATTTATTAAGACACATTGGTGGCCAGGCACAGTTGCTCATACCTGTAATCCTTCTGTTTTGGGAAGCCAAATATGTGGGTGAATTGCTTGGGCCCAGGAGTTCAAGACCAGCCTGGGCAACATGGTGAAACTTTGTCTCTACAAAAAATATAAAAATTAACTGAACGTGGTGGCACACACTTTCAGTGGCACACACACTGCAGTGAGCCATGATCATGCCTGGGTGACAGAGTGAGACCTTGTCTCAAAAAAAAAAAGCAAAGACACATTGGCTTAATAATTTGTATATATTTTTCTCCCCTCCTAATATTGTCAAAGGATTTTAATGTTTTTCAGAGAGGCTCTGTGACTTAGATTTTATCATATTGTTCTAACCAAATCTGTTATAAATTCTTCTATTTAATATGAGTTAAGTAAGGTAATTACCTTTGGTGCCATCAATTGTAGACTTTATTTCCACACCTAATCCTTTTCAAATAAGATGTATTGATGTTGACTATTTTCCTAATAGAGAATCTGCAACTAAAAGCTTATGTTACTTTGTACTTAGCAGAACTTTCTGAGCCTTGATTGATATGATGGGGGAGATGTTGGTCTATAATGAAATTAAAGTAAGGTAGTATGTCTGAGAAGTAATATATTATTTTTCTGTGTGATTATCTCTTTCAGGTAGTTGCCCTAAAATAAAGTAAAATTTTCAAAATATAAATACATATGTATTATGTATGTTACCTTTTTCATTAATAGGTTATTGAAGAAAAAAATGAACTGATAAGGGATCTTGAAACCCAAATAGAATGTTTGATGAGTGATCAAGAATGTGTGAAGAGAAATAGAGAAGAAGAAATAGAGCAGCTCAATGAAGTGATTGAAAAACTTCAACAGGAATTGGCAAATATTGGACAGAAGACATCAGTGGATGCTCATTCCCTCCCAGAAGAAGCAGACAGTTTAAAACATCAATTGGATATGGTTATAGCTGAAAAGCTGGCCTTGGAACAGCAAGTAGAAACCACTAATGAAGAAATGACCTTCACAAAAAATGTACTTAAAGAAACCAATTTTAAAATGTATCAGCTAACACAGGAATTATTCAGCTTAAAGAGAGAACGTGAAAGTATGGAAAACATTCAGAGTATACCAGGGAAAACTCTTAACACAGCTATAGATGATCTGAGCAAAGACAAACCTGAACTGGAAGTAGTCCTTACAGAGGATGCTCTTAAATCCCTAGAAAATCAGACATATCTCAAATCTTTTGAAAAAAATGGTAAAGGTTCCATAATTAATTTGGAAACAAGGTTGTTACAACTTGAGAGCACTGTTAGTGCAAAGGACTTAGAACTTACCCAGTGCTATAAACAAATAAAAGATATGCAAGAACAAAGCCAGTCTGAAATAGAAATGCTTCAAAAGAAGATTATAAACCTACAGAAAATACTTGAAGAAAAAGTGGCTGCTGCTCTTGTGAGTCAAATCCAACTTGAGGCAGTTCAGCAATATGCAAAGTTCTGTCAAGATAATCAAAGAATTTCATCAGAACCTGAGAGAACAAATACACAGAATTTAAATCAACTAAGAGAAGATGAGTCAGTGTCAAATGTATCAACATTAACCTTAAGAATATCAGAATTAGAAAGCCAGGTTGTTGAAATGCATACTAGTTTGATTTTAGAAAAAGAACAAGTAGAAATTGCAGAGAAAAATGCTTTAGAAAAAGAAAAGAAGCTGCTAGAACTACAAAAGCTATTAGAGGGCAACGAAAAAAAACAGGGAGGGAAAGAAAGGAAAAGAAGCCCTCAGGATTTTGAAGTTCTCAAGGTTAGTTTTGTATTTTATTATTTTCACTTAAATAGTTACGAATTTACTAAATATGGTGTTCTGTTTACATCTAGCAATTTATACAAAAGAGATTTTTAATAAAAATATACCACTTATAAAAAAATAAACTCTTGTTAAAAGATAAACTAGACAAACTAAATTTACAGGAGTTTATTTGAACAAAGAAGGATTCATGAATTGGGTAGCACTCAGAACCTGAGGAGTTTCACAAATCTCTTTTGTGCAACAGTGGCCAGTGAATATTTGTAGACAGAACTACCAAATAAAGTACAGAAATAGCTTGATTAGTTACAGCTAGGTGTTTGCCTTATTTGGACATGGTCTGCTCAGTGGACTGCTTGTCATTAGCTAAGACTTGGCTGTCTATTATACTCCTAAGTTAGGTTTTCAGTTTGCTTACATACTCCTAAGTTAGGTTGCAGTTCCTTACATAGGAACTCAAGACAGAGACAGCCTCAGGCCAAATTTAAGTTAATACTGTGTAGTCATATTATTATCGATTAAGTAATGGATACAGACTGTATTTTGTGGCCATCAAATATGATGTTTATTTCATTAACATCATTATTTTAATGGAACAGTGAGAAGAAACTAAGAAACATTAACTTTAGCAAATTTCCTTTAGGACTTAGGTGGATTTTTTTCTTAACTTCCTTCTAATATGCATGTTATATATTATCATTCCTTTTAAGTATTAATAAGTATGAAAATATATTAGGATTGACTTAATATGTAAATTAAGTGAATATGTAAAGAATACAAACTTTTTCAGAAAAAAACTATTATTTAATAGTATCTACTGAATTAATTAATATGTAAGTGACATATCATTAGCTTTTACTTTTTTTTTTTTTTTTTTTTTGAGACAGAGCCTTACTGTGTCACCCAGGCTGGAGTGCAGTGCTGCAATCTCATCTCACTGCAGCCTCCACCTTCCGCATTCCAATGATTCTCCTGCCATAGCCTTCTAGGCGGCTGGGATTACAGGCACACACTACTACGCCCAGCTAAATTTTTTTTTGTATTTTGTTTTTAGTAGAGAGGGTTTTTGCCATGTTGGCCAACCTGGTCTCAAATTTCTGACCTCAAGTGATCCACCTGCCTTGGCCTCCCAAAGTGTTAGGATTATAGGCGTTGGCTACCGCACCTGAACAGCTTTTACAAATTTTATACCTGATAATAGATTTCATCCATTTTAAGTAAAAATGCATAGTTGACCTCTGTAAGTTTACTTATGTAAAGATCTGAAATCACAGTTATTTCTTAGCATATGATGGATAGGACAAGAGCTTTTCTTCCCTCCAAATTCTCACCTTATAAATTTATAACTTTGGGTAGCAGGACTTCAGTCTTCTCTAAACACCAGGAGATTAACTGATAAATTACAGTTCTATAATTATATAATGTATTTTACAAAGAATAATAATCCTCTGGCTTTTTCCTCACTCATTGAAACTAAGTTACTGTAAGTTTTAAATAATTAACATAGTAATATAACTTTTTTTTTGGAGATTAGAGTCTTACTCTGTTGCCCAAGTTGAAGTGTAGTGGCACAGTCTTGGCTCACCTGCAACCTCTCCCTCCTGAGCAGCTGGGACTACAGGCATGCACCACCACACCTGGCTAATTTTGTATTTTTTGTAGAGATAGGGTTTCGCAATGTTGACCAGACTGGCCTTGAACTCCTGGCCTCTAGTGATCTACCTCTCTCAGCCTCCCAAAGTGCTGGGATTACAGGCCTGAGCCACCGTGCCCAGCCTAAAATAGTAATGTAACTTTCCATGCGTGAGTTCTAAGAAATAACTTAATTATACTTGGTTTCTTTTGAGGAAAGTGATATAAGTATGAATAACTTTTTGAATGGTAACAAAGAATGTTTTCATTAACAATTTTTAAATGTTTAGGATGCACACGAATGACATTATTTACCTTTTATTCCCAGAAAATCATTCTTTTCTCAAGAAGGAAATCATTTTCTCAGGAATACAAGATGATGGTCTGAAAAAGCTTCTCTGTTTTTGGAAAGAGCATTAATTCATTGCAGCTTCATTTATCTATAGACAGTCATTTCCTTGGATAGTTTTATTAGAATATATAACTGCCTTGAATTTAGCTATGTATTTTTAAATGATGTGTTTCTTGTATTTTCCACTGTCATTCAGACAACTGCTAAGCTATTTCATACCAGTGAAGAAAGTGGATTTTTTAATGAACTTGAGGCTCTTAGAGCTGAATCAGTGGCTACCAAAGCAGAACTTGAGAGTTATAAAGAAAAGACTGAAAAACTTCAAGAAGAACTTTTGGTAAGATAAGTAACATAGCTCCTTAATTTACTGACTTCTACCTATCTTAATTTTGTTTCAAAGTATATACTCTTCTGTAAAAATAAATCAAGCTCCATAACTTAAAAGCTAGATTAGAAAATCTTTTGTGGATTTGATGAAAACTTTCATTGTTATAAATTTCTTTACCAACATCTTGCTTGATTTTCTTGGAAATCTTTCTTAGGAGGATACTTTTTATTTCCATTCTGTTAATGAAAGAGTAGAAAGTTGTTAAAGAGAACTGTATATTCCATGAGAACCAAAAATAGAAGCTGATAGAATTATTTCACTTCTATATTAATCTATGTATATTAATCTATGACCCTACATACATACAAATATATATGTAACGTATGAGTGTTTCTGAAATATTTTTCCTGCTACTCTGAGAAAAATGAACATATAATCATGAATTACACTGTTCCTACCCCCTTTAAATGCTACAGTTAATATGAAAAGATTTTAACTGAATGCCCTGCTGTTCTATTCATTATGTTTTAGGTAAAAGAAACAAATATAGCATGTCTTCAAAAGGACTTAAGCCAAGTTAGGGATCACCTCACAGAGGCAAAAGAGAAATTGTCCATTTTACAAAAAGATGAGACTGAGGTACAAGAAAACAAAAAGATCTGCATGTTCGAGCCACTTCCTATAAAATTGAGTAAGAGCATTGCATCCCAGACAGATGGGACTCTGAAGGTCAATAGCAGCAATCAGACTCCACAAATTCTTGTTAAAAATGCAGGAATACAAATTGATTTACAGAGTGAATGTTCTTCAGAAGAAGTTACTGAAATAATCAATCAGTTTACTGAAAAAATTGAGCAGATGCAAGAACTACATGCTGCTGAAATTTTGGACATGGAATCTAGACATATTTCAGAGACTGAAACCTTGAAGAGGGAACACTTTGTTGCTGTTAAGTTGCTGACAGAGGAATGTGGTACCTTGAAGGCAGTGATACAGTGTCTGAGAAGTAAAGAGGTATTTGGTTTTTATAATATGTGTTTTTCAACATTGTGTGCTTTTAAGAGAAAATAAAAAAACTTGGGGCAGTCTCTTCCTTATGATACTATCACAATTTTAATAGTTTTTAAACTTTTAAATTTAAAGAATTTTTAGTTTAAAATGTTTTAAATGTTTCCATTGTGTAGAGTTAATGTATGATGTTCCTGTATGGATTTGGAACATGTTATCATTTTTTAATTCATGAATGTCTCTTTTTATTGTAATATTCACAAAGAAACAGGCATGTTAAAAACCATGAATAGTTTCATTTGTTATGAAAGATGTGACAGATTTGATTGGTTTCTTTACAGCATTAGAAACCAACAAAATAATTCATCGTATTCTAGTTTTATTAAAGCAAAAAAACGTATTTTTTTCCCTTTAATTAGGGATCCTCAATTCCTGAATTAACACATTCTGATGCTTACCAAACTAGAGAAATATGCTCCAGTGGTAAGTTATATAAATATCTGTAGTGTTTCTAGTATTTATTTAAGAAGTACTGGTTTTTTGCGGACTGGGGGTTGATTTTTTTTTTTTTTAACAGCAAATGATTTTCTTTATTTTAGATTCTGGATCAGACTGGGGTCAGGGAATTTATCTTACACACAGTCAGGGATTTGACACAGCATCAGAAGGCCGAGGAGAAGAAGGTGAAAGTTCAATAGATTCCTTTCCAAAGAAAATAAAGGTATTAAAAGATAAATACCTTTTATTAACTTACCCAGTGTTGTTTCCGTGTTGAACATAGCAGTTCATTAGAAGTTACATGGTAGGTTCGTTTCTGAAGAGAGAATTGCATAGCTGGAAGGAACCTGAGAGATACATTTTATTTCCATATTTCACAGATAAGTAATAGACTTAAAGATGATATGTATGAAGACTTGTTTTCTTAATAATTCTTATTCCTGATGTTTTTATTTGCCAGAATTTTTAAAGTAATCTCAAAGAGTAGAGGTTATATCCCATGTATTTCTTTTGGTCAAACCAGTGGCTTATTAGTAAACCCAGGAAGAGTACGTTAGCCAAACAGAAGGAACTTAGAGATGAGAGCTATGAAAAGTCATAGGCCATCTACTGGAGTTGGCCTACCCCTCCACAGGAAGAAGGTATTCAGTAATGTTGGGCTGGAGTTTTCTCTCTGCAGGCTATCTTGCTTAAAATTTATTTCTCTCTGTATGTCTAATTTTTCAGTCTGTGAAGAAGTTGTCATAATTCTGGCTTTTGGGTTTTGTTTTCCAGGGATTACTGAGAGCTGTCCATAATGAAGGCATGCAGGTGCTTTCTCTCACTGAGTCGCCCTATAGTGATGGAGAGGACCATTCTATTCAGCAGGCTTCAGAATCTTGGCTAGAAGAGAGAAAAGCTTACCTCAGTATAATTTCATCTCTTAAGGATTTAATTACCAAAATGCAACTGCAAAGAGAAGCTGAGGTACCCGAAGAATACTAAGCATGCACAATAATATTACACTACAAATTAAATTATCTTTTTTACATGTTTTTGCATGAATAGCTGTATATATTTTCACACTTCAAAATCAGCCAGGAGCAGTGGCTGACACCTGTAATCCCAGCACTTTGGAAGGCCCAGGTGTGTGGATCACCCGAGGTCAGGAATTCAAGACCTGCCTGGCCAACATGTCAAAACCCCGTCTCTACTAAAAATACAAAAATTAGCCAGACATGGTGGCAGGTGCCTGTAATCCCAGCTACTTGGGAGGCTGAGGCAGGAGGATTGCTTGAACCTGGAAGGTGGAGGTTGCAGTAAGCCGAGATCACACCACTGCACTCCAACCTGGGCAATAGAGTAACACTCTGTCTCAAAAAGAAAAAAAAAAAGAAAATAAATACACATGCTTCTAGATTTTTAATTACTTTGCTTAGTAGATTAATATTTTTAGAATGTTTTTAAAATATGCTTATTTGAAAACTAATGTTGTTATATGTATTTTGCTAGGTTTATGATAGTTCTCAGTCTCATGAGAGCATCTCAGACTGGCGAGGTGAACTACTGCTTGCCCTTCAACAAGTTTTCTTAAAAGAACGTAGTGTTTTCCTAGCGGCATTTCGGACGGAGCTGACAGCTCTGGGTACTACAGATGCAGCTGGTTTATTAAACTGTTTGGAACAGAGAATACAAGAACAGGTATAATGAAACTTCATTTAAAGAACACTTTAATAGAAATAAGTAAATGATTATTGATTTTGAAGTCTTAAGTATGAAGGTTAAGATTTTAATAGGAGCCACTATGAATATTTAAGAAAAAAAATACCATAAATATTTTAACTTACCATGTTAGAAAGTAAGAAAAACTGAAAGTTAATGAGCTAATTTTCTAACGCAGAAAATTAGAAAAAGAGCAACAGAATAATTCCAAACAAATTTAAAAGAGTAATACGAGTAAATTCTCATTATTTGCACCTGGTTATGTTCTATAAAGTTGCTCTGAATATTGAGCAATTACTGCTCCTAAGGGAAATACAAGGTTAGGTTCCTATAAGCCTTTGGTCACAATGTTTTTCATCCATCAGTACCTTGTCTATAGGGGATTCTATTTTAAGACACCTTATTTACTATATATTATTGATTAACCCTGAACACCACTAACAGCACTATAACTCATGCCTGAAAAAAAAACTTTTCTGACACACAGATTTTCTCCTTAAGGCACATTATAGCCTTCTTGTACTTAGGAACACCATAAAGCACTTTAGCACTACTTTTGGGGCCCATTTTAAACAGTGAAATCACAAATAAAATGCACAAAAATTTGAAAAGTCACTAAATACACTGTAAGAAGAAGATTTGACTTTAGCTGAAGACATGCACATTGGACCATTTAAGTTTTTTGCTGCTGTGTGCATTTCTGTGGAAGACCATGAAAGCAATACAAGTATGAAATTGAAAGTTACAAATAAATTTTAGTGAGAAGACAAAATCTGCAAATACGGAATCAGAATATTGAAGATTCCCTTCAATGAAGAAAAAGACATCAATAGATACAGTGATATAATAGGATAAAATGTTAAAAGTTGGATGTTTGAACTTTTCTGGAGAATTGGTTAAGCAAAATGATAAAGCACACATTTTTTAAATTATACTTTAAGTTCTAGGGTACATGTGCAGATCTTGCAGGATTTTTACATGGGTATACACATACCATGTGATTTACTGCTCCATCCACCCATCATCTACATTAGGTATTTCTCCTAATGTTATCCCTCCCCAACCCCACACCCCCTCCTATTCTTCCCCTAGCTCTTCCACCCCTCAACAGGCCCTGGTGTGTGATGTTTCCCTCCCTGTGTCCATGTCTTCTCATTGTTCAACAACCACTTATGTGTGAGAATATGTGGTGTTTGGTTTTCTGTTCTTGTGTCAGTTTGCTGAGAATGATGGTTTCCAGCTTCATCCATGTCCCTGCAAAGGACATGAACTTGTCCTTTTTTATGGCTGCATAGTATTCCATGGTGTATATGTGTGACAATTTCTTTATTCAGACTATCATTGATGGGCATTTGGGTTGGTTCCAAGACTTTGCTATCATAAACAGTGCCGCGGTGAACATATGTGTGCATGTGTCTTTATAATAGAAGGATTTATAATCCGTTGGGTATATACCCAGTAATAGGATTGCTGGGTCAAATGGTATTTCGAATGGTTCTAGTTCCTTGAGGAATTGCCACACTGTCTTCCACAATTGTTTAACTAATTTACACTCCCACCAACAGTGTAAAAGTGTTCCTGTTTCTCCACATCTGTTGAAAAGTGTTCCTATTTCATCCAGCATCTGTTGTCTCCTGACTTTTTAATGATCACCATTCTAACTGGCATGAGATGGTATCTCACTGTGGTTTTGATTTGCATTTCTCTAATGACCAGTGATGATGAGCACTTTTTCATGTTTGTTGGCCACATAAATGTCTTCTTTTGAAAAGTATCTGTTAATATCCTTCACTCACTTTTTGATGGGGTTGTTTGTTGTTGTTGTTGTTGTTGTTGTTTTGTAAATTTATTTAAGGTCTTTGCGGATTCTGGATATTAGCCCTTTGTCAGTTGGATAGATTGCAAAAAAATTTTCCCATTCTGTTGGTTGCTCGTTCACTCTAATGATAGTTTCTTTTGCTGTGCAGAAGCTCTTAAGTTTAATTAGATCCCATTTGTCTATTTTATGGCTTTCATTTCCATTGCTTTTGGTGTTTTACCCATGAAGTCCTTGCCTAAGCCTATGTCCTGAATAGTAATGCATAGGTTTTCTTCTATGGTTTTTATGGTGTTAGGTCTTACGTTTAAATCTTTAATCCAACTGGAGTTAATTTTTGTATAAGGTGTAAGGAAGGGGTCCAGTTTCAGCTTTCTGCATATGGCTTGCCAGTTTTCCTGACACCATTTATTCAGCAGGGATTCCTTTCCCCATGGCTTGTTTTTTTCAGGTTTGTCAAAGATCAGATGGTTGTAGATATGTGGCATTACTTCCGAGGCATCTGTTATGCTCCATTGGTCTGTATCTCTGTTTTGGTACCAGTACCATGCTGTTTTGATTACTGTAGCCTTGTAGTATAATTTGAAGTCAGGTAGCATGATGCCTCCAGCTTTGGTTTTTTGTTTGTTTGTTTGTTTTGCTTAGGATTGTTTTGGCTATGCAGGCTCTTTTTTGGTTCCATATGAAGTTTAAGATGGTTTTTTTCTAGTTCTGTGAAGAAGGTCAATGGTAGCTTGATGGGGATAGCATTGTATCTATAAATTACTTTGGGAAATATGGCCATTTTTATGATATTGATTCTTTCTAATCATGAGCATAGAATGTTTTTCCATCTGTTTGTGTCTTCTCTTATTTCCTTGAGCAGTAGTTTGTAGTTCTCCTTCAAGTGGTCCTTCACATACCTTGTTGGTTATATTCCTAGGCATTTTATTCTCTTTGTGGCAATTGTGAATGGCAGTTCATTCTTGATTTGGCTCTCTTTAAGTCTGTTATTGGTGTATAGGAATGCTTGTGATTTCTGCACATTGATTTTGTTTCCTGAGACTTTGCTGCAGTTGCTTATCAGCTTAAGGAGATTTGGGGCTGACACAATGGGGTCTTCCAAATATACAATCATGTTGTCTGCAGATAGGGACAGTTTGACTTCCTCTTTTCCTAATTGAATACCCTTTATTTCTTTTTTTTTTTTTTCTTTTTTTCCTAATTGCTCTGACCAGAACTTCCAAACTATGTTGAATAGGAGTAGTGAGAGAGGGCACACTTGTCTTGTGCCAGTTTTCAAAGGGAATGCTTCCACTTTTTGCCCATCCAGTATGATATTGGCTGTGGGTTTGTCATAAATAGCTTTTATTATTTTGAGATATGTTCCATCGATACCTAGTTTATTGAGTTTTTAGCATAAAGGGCTGTTGAATTTTGTTGAAGGCCTCTGCATCTATTGAAATAATCATGTGGTTTTTGTCTTTGATTCTGTTTATGTAATGGATTACATTTACAGATTTGCGTATGTTGAACCAGCCTTGCATCTCCAGGATGAAGCCAACTTGATCAGGATACATAAGCTTTATGATATACTGTTGCAATCAGTTTGCCAGTATTTTATTGAAGATTTTCCCATCCGTGTTCATCATGCATATTGGCCTGAAATTTTCTTTTTTTAGTTGTCTCTCTGCTAGGTTTTGGTATCAGGATGATGTTGGTCTCATAAAATAAGTTAGGGAGGATTCCCTCTTTTCGTATTGTTTGGAATAGTTTCAGAAAGAATGGTGCCAGCTCGTCTTTGTACGTTTGATAGAATTCAGGTGTAAACCTGTCTGGTCCTGGGCTTTTTTTTTTTTTGGTTGGTAGGCTATTAAGTGCTGCCTCAACTTCAGATCTTGTTATTGGTCTATTCAGGGATTCAACTTCTTCCTAGTTTAGTCTTGGGAGTGTGTAAGTGTCCAGGAATTTATCCATTTCTTGTAGGTTTATTGGTTTATGTGCATAGAGGTGTTTGTAGTAATCTCTGACAGTGGTTTGTATTTCTGTGGAATCGGTGGTGAAACCCCTTTTATAATTTTTTATTGCATCTATTCAGTTCTTCTCTCTTCTTTTTTATTAGTCCGGCTAGGGGTCTATTTTGTTGATCTTTTAAAAAAAAGCAGTTCCTGCATTCATTGATTTTTTTTTTGAAGGGTTTTGTGTCTCTTTCTCTTTCAGTTCTGTTCTGATCTTAGTTATTTCTTGTCTGCTAGCTTTTGAATGTGTTTGATCTTACTCCTCTAGTCCTTTTAATTTTGACATTAGGATATCAATTTTAGATCTTTCCTCGCTTCTCATGTAGGCATTTAGTGCTATAAATTTCCCTCTAGACACTGCTTTAAATGTGTCCCAGAGATTCTGACACATTGTGTCTTCACTCTCATTGAAGAACATCTTTAGTTCTGCCTTCATTTCATTTTTTATCCAGTAGTCATTCAGGAGCCTGTTGTTCTGTTTCCATGTAGCTGTGCAATTTTGAGTGAGTTTCTTAGTCCTGAGTTCTGATTTGATTGCGCTGTGGTCTGAGACTGGTTGTTACGATTTCCGTTCTTTTGCATTTGCTGAAGAGTGATTTACTTCCAACTAACTATGTGGTCAGTTTTAGAGTAAGCGTGATGTGCTGAGAAGAATGTATATTCTGTTGATTTGGGGTGGAGAGTTCTGTAGGTGTCTGTTAGGTCCACTTGGTCCAGATCTAAGTTCAAGTCCTTAATATCCTTGTTAATTTTCTGTCTCGTTGATCTGTCTAATATTGGCAGTGGAATGTTAAAGTCTCCCACTATTATTGTGTGGGAGTCTAAGTCTCTTTGTACATCTCTAAGAACTTGCTTTATGTATCTTGGTGCTCCTGTATTGGGTGCATATATATTTAGGATAGTTAGCTCTTCTTGTTGCATTAATCCCTTTATCATTATGTAATGCCCTTCTTTGTCTCTTTTGATCTTTGTTGGTTTAAAGTTCATTTTATCAGAGACTAGGATTGTAACTCTTGCTTTTTTTTCTCTCTCTGTCTCTCCATTTGCTTGGTAAATCTTCCTCCATCCCTTTATTTTAAGCTATGTTTCCTGGATACAGCACACTGATGGGTTTTGACTTTTTATCCAATTTGCCAGTCTGTGTCTTTTGATTGGGACATTTAGTC